CGCCGATACAGTCATCAATGTAACGGAGGAAGAGGTGGGGTTTAGGGCCGGTGTAGGTACGGAAGAGGGATTGTTCCACGTAACCTACAAAGAGGCAGGCGTAGCTTGGGCCCATGCGGGTACCCATGGCTAAACCCCTTTGTCTGTAGGAAGTGGGAGGAATTGAAAGAGAAGTTGTTGAGGGTGAGGACGAGTTCGGCTAAGCGGATGAGGGTGTCAGTGGAGGGGGACTGGTCGGGCCTGCGGGACAGGAAGAAGCGGAGGACCTTAAGGCCATCTGCATGGGGAATGCAGGTGTAGAGGAACTGGACGTCCATGGTAAAGATGAGGTGTTGGGGACTGGGGAATTGGAAGTTCTGGAGGAGGTGGAGGGCGTGGGTGGTGTCACGGACATAGGTAGGGAGTTCCTGGACCAAGGGGGAGAAGATGGAGTCTCTATAGTTGGAGATCAGTTCGGTGGGGCAGGAGCAGGCGGAGACAATGGGTCGACCAGGGCATTCAGGTTTGTGGATTTTGGGAAGGAGATAGAAGCGGGCAGTGCGAGGTTGGGGAACGATGAGGTTGGGGGCCGTGGGTGGGAGGTCACCTGAGGTGATGAGGTTGTGGATGGTTTGGGAGATGATGGTTTGGTGCTCAGGGGTGGGGTCATGATCAAGGGGGCGGTAGGAGGAGGTGTCGGAGAGTTGGCGTCTGGCCTCGGCGATGTAGAGGTCAGTGCGCCATACTACAACTGCGCCTCTCTTGTCAGCGGGTTTTATGGTGAGGTTGGGATTGGAGCGGAGGGAGCGGAGGGCTGCACGTTCTGCGCGGGAGAGGTTGGAGTGGGTGAGGGGGGTGGAGAGGTTGAGGCGATTGATGTCTTGACGGCAGTTGGAGATGAAGAGGTCGAGGGAGGGTAGGAGGCCTTGGGGTGGTGTCCAGGAGGAGGGGGTGTGTTGGAGGCGGGAGAAGGGGTCAGTAGAGGGATGGTTAGGTTCACGGTTAAAGAAGTAAGCGTGGAGGCAGAGGCAGCAGAAAAACTGCTCTATGTCCAAGTGTGAGCGGTATTCGTTGATCTGTGGGTGGAGGGGGACAAAGGTGAGCCCTTTACTGAGGACTGACCGTTCGTCCTCAGTAAGGGGTAGGTCTGGGGGGGATGGTGAAGACTCGACTTGTCAGTACTTTATTCATTTGTACAATCACCACTTTTAATAAAAGTTGTTACCTGTTTTTTGTCTTCTAGTGCCAGTTTGCCCATGATTCCTTCACTGGCCTCTTGATTCAGCTCAGAAGACACAGACTCAAACAGCTGGATTAGTAAAGAACTGTTAGTTATTGAGTTTGATATATCTTCTAAATTTTCTGATAAGAGTGTTGCCAGGTCCTTGGCATTACCAGCGTTTGAGAACTCACGAACCTGCGGTTAAAATGGGGAAAAAATAAATCTAACAACATGTCCCTTTCTAAACATATGATTCTTCTGTGGCCCCTAATCTATTGTCCACATACAACAATATTTACTAGTTAGTACAAGTAGTGTGAAAGGATTAAACAGATTTATTACCAGCAACTGAATAGAAGTTCAAATCCCACTACGGCAGTTTGAGAATTTGAATTTAATTTTTAAAAAGAGAAGCTGTATTTGGAGAAATTACATGGATATTTGTCATCCATGCATAGTTACAACGCTTGGATTAACAACATAGTCCAAGTACCTTCAAAGACCATTTACCACATGCTATCCCTAATCTCCAAATAAAGCTGTTCCCCACCTATATTACATTTAGTATGTTTAATCCTCATTAATCTATAATGGTATAATTATAATATTTATAAGATATTTTGGGTAGGGTATTAGTTAGCTGGATGGCTGGTTTGCAATGCAGAGTGATGACAATGGCATGGGTTCTATTTTTGGATTGGCTGATTCTTTCTCTCACCCTCTCCCCTTGCCTGAGGTGTGGTGACCTTCAGGTTAAACCACCACCAGTTGTCTCTCTCTGTCTCTAACAAGGGTGTATCCCCGTGGTCTGGTAAGATCATGGTGACTTTATCTGTACTTTGGGTCTGACGGGTTTTAAATTGAGGGAAAATGAATGATATCTTTTGTAGCCTGCATGACAGAAGCCTGAATGGTTTCACTGTTAGACACCTTAGGATTGTTTAGTTTATTTTACTAAGAAGAAGGTGTGAGGTGTACGTGCTTGGAGACAACGGCTAATCATCTCTGAGTTGAGGCTGAGTCTCCCAAGGTCCCAGAAAGGTGTTGCGGGTTTTAAATTGTAAGCAGTAGTGCTGTAAACAGCCCATTTACTTCTAAGATAGAAGGGATTTGAAATGAATAATAGTTCATTAGTATTTCCACATAATTATAAGGTTATTGTGTGCTATATTGCCATTAGGAAGAGAGTAGATGAAGGCGTATTTTTAAGTTAATTTTCTCCCTAAATCAATAAATAACACATGCATGCTATGAAGGTTTTATGTGGCCAGCAGAGACGAAAGGCTGCTTGATTATGTAAAATATCACAGCCAAATGCAGGAGAAAAATGAATACATTCAGTTGGGAGATAAATAGATTCAGGAGGGTGATGAATAGATGCATCATATTATCAACAACATCCATTTTATGATCTATGAAGAAGAGGAAAATGTACTTGACTGCATCTTAAATTAGTTACTTAACTTGCTCATTGGATGTAGTGGGCAATTTGTCTCTCGCCTTCTAAGTGGACCCATCACAAGGTGATTGGGGAGGTCTGGTGTTTCGATGCAATTCCACTGAAACCATGGCTCTACTCACCAAACCACAGTACTGCTCACCAACCCCCAATCACCCTGTACACTTGCCTCTGTCACCCGCCCTGTTCTCCTACATCATTGGGATGGAGGATCCAGGGTTGCCGGAGTTGGTGCCACGGGTACCCAGGGTGCCAAGTGTTGGGCACTTCTGTTGAAAACCTGTGATTCTGACCAGGCTCAATGTCTGATTGGAGCAGTCCTAAATAAGTCAGTAATTAATGGGCAAAAAGTTGAACTTTGCAAGCTGATAGATATCAATGGCACCATCAACATAGGCCCCAGGAACTCACTCTGGTCACCAACATCCAGATTCATGTCTAAATATGTTCCCCTAGGAATTACATCCTGAACAGTGGCAAACCTCTCAGCAATCACCTTATTTGGACGACAAGATCCCAGGCCCTGATTTTTCCTCCTCAGCTTCCTGTCCTAACAAGTAGTTATGCAGAATTGTAAGAAACCCATACTCAATGGCACATTCCGTAACTGATTAATAGGCATATTTCCAGTCATATCCTGGGAAAATACGAACAAAAATGTCATGAGATGCTGATGGATGAGGATGGCCATTCAACACATCTTAAGGCAGCTTAGCAGATGAATCTACCTTCCCACCATTGCTGCTTCTAAAGCCATATGCTTAACTCTGGCTGATAATTTGAATGGGCAAAGGTAAACTTGGCAAAATCTTGGCAGAGTGAAGCCCAGGAAACTGAATCCAAGACCTTATCAGGATGTCCCAGAGTTAGTTTTGCATGCAAAACTAGCGGGAAGTGACATCTGACATAAAACCACCTTGTGGGATCCAGAAGATGGTTAAATAAAGAATGCTAACTTGTTTGAGCCTCTTCAAACGCAGTCCCTCTACTCCTTTTGATGACCTAGTGGTAAAGCCACAATGACTTCCCTGGTCAAGATCCCAAATAAGACTAAGATATAGGAGCAGAAATAAGCCATTTGATCATGGCTGATGTGATTCTCAATCTCATTCTTCTGACTTCCCGTAACCTTGGATTCCTTTACTAATCAAGAAATTGTCTATCTCTGTCTTAGATGCACTAAATGACTTGGCCTCCACAGCCTTCTATGGAAATGAGTTCCACAGATTCATCACCCTCTGGCTGAAGAAACTCCTCCTCACTTCAGTTCTAAAGGGTCACCCCTTCACTCTGAGGCTGTGCCCTTGTGTCCCAGTTTCTCCTACAAGTAGAAATGTCGTCCACTTTATCCAGGCCTCTTAGCATTCTCAGACTAAAATAATAGTAATGAAAGCAATAATTGTCAATGACCCAAGTCTCCTCATTAGATTGTGTCAACAGTGAGTTAAATACCAACTAACACTGAAGATTAATCATCAATCATTTTAATTCAAAAACTACTCAAAAGAAGGATATGAATGGTGAGTTCATATTAAAATTCATGATTTTACTGCAACTCCAAACATCAAGAAAAATTGATCTAATTGTTAACAACATCCCAACAACTCACCACCACTGTAGTAATAACACTGGTAATGGAGCCCACACTGTTTCTGACAGTGACTGTGATATTCAAATGGTTATCATTCTTTGTGTCTCCCAGTGGTAAGTAAGTAGGTGGCAATATTGGTTGTGATTCACAGTGTAAAGGAACATCTGAAAAGACATCAGCACATCATGATTTGAAGTTCTCTGCCTGAATGGATAGAGGAAGTAGATTCAAGAGTAGCTTTCAATTGGAAATTGGATAAATACTTGAGCGGAGAAAATAACTGAGCTATGGGGGAGTGGGCACAGTTATGATGGGTCAAATTGCCACTTCACTTAAAATTTGATCTATCTACAATAAAGTCAATTCTTGTCCAGAAAACCCACAGGTGAAATAAATCTCCAGTTAAAACATATATTTAAATTCGGACAATATTATCATCCCACTGTAGAAACACCACTTCTATGTATTTTACATTATTGCCAGTCATGATGCTCTTGTTATGAGCATTAGTTTTAGTACTATGATGGTCCTTTTAAAATCATTTTCTATCATTGCTATATAAATGAAATTCAAGTATATTAACGTATTAGCAAAGTTTCCATAATTCAGCATTTATACTTGATTGTGCTGTGTGCTCTGTTGCTATAGTTAAAGAATCACTTTGCTTTTCTGCTTTCATGAGTGGGTGGAGGTTGGTTTCAAAATAAACTATGGACAACTCAACTTCAGCTTGCCTCCACCTCACAGAGGTGAGTCAGGATTGGTTAGTAGGGTGGTGAGGGTTAACTGACAACCTCTGTCAGGAAGTAGGCTGACCCCTAAATCATTTAAGGAAGGCCTCATGCCTCCATCTGATACATTGTTTATCTTCAACAACTGCTGTAGACCAGGTTTCCCCAACCTCAGGAAACTTTGCAGTTGAACAGAAAGTGAGAACGTCTGGATGTGTAGGTAGCAATGCTTGTCCAACATTGCAGCAATGCTTCCTTACAGCCGACCAAACCTCAATATTTGTCCACAGCTCTGGAATCTCCACAATCAGCCAACTCTCATCACTGCAAACTATCATCTCTGGCCCAATCTCCCTAGCCCCTTGAATGGCTTGACTACTCCAAATTATGCAGGATTCAATTTCCCCTGCTACCAAAGAATGGAAGCCTGACTTACCACCGATTTGTTATTCAGCTTTATAGTTGACAGATAAGCAATGTGTCGGGTCAGCTATTTATTGAAAATTTTAAGACAAGCCCTATTTCTGAAATCAAGGGATATCTGGAATCCTTTTCATTACAGGTGATTATTGTCACTGTCAATCATACAGCTAGATGTCCAATTGATATTCCAATTTCCAGATATTCCAGATATTATAGAAATCAACTAAATTAACCAAACTGTCAATAGTGTAAAAGGAAAGGTCAATACTTTATTGATGTGGAGGAAATGCTAACAAGTGTACATTTATTAAATTACCATTACTATATCTCCCATTTGTCCCATTGTTTCATAAAACTGGGATGAGAATGTTAATTGGCTCTTCTGTAATTTGCTATTTTAACTGCAGGAGAAAAAAAACAGGACTTTCTGAAAATACAAAGAAGGTCCTTCAGTATTTTGAAAGGAAATCATAGATCAATATTTGAGATGTGAACCTTTGGTCTATACCCTAGACATCATCAATATTTTCTCTTTGCAGATGTTAATATACTTGATAACAAGGTGTAGAGCTGGATGAACACAGCAGGCCAGGCAGCTTCAAAGGAGCAGGAAAGCTGATGTTTTGGGTCTGGACCCTTTTTCTGAAGAAGGTTCCAGGTCCGAAACGTCAGCTTTCCTTCTTTTCTGATGCTGCCTGGCCTGCTGTGTTCATCCAGTTCTGCACCGTGTTATCTCAGACTCCAGCATCGGCAGTTCCTACTAACTCTGTTAATGTACTTGGTCTGTTTTTCCACTACTTTTTCAGTTTGTTTTTTTTTGTTCTAGCTGCAATTGTTTCTTTCTGAGCAGAGATCACCCCAACTTATTCACAGCCTATGATTGCATAAATGAAAAGAAAAAAAAACTAGGTATCACTGCAGAGAATGATGGCATTGTCCCTCATTCATTGGATATGAATTAATCATCGTAAATGTTACGATGCAATCTTACAATTTTTGGAGTGCTGTAAAAGGTTAAGAATGTATCTTTTCTGACAGTGATACTTTTGTAACCATCGGACTTTGAATTCCAGTTTCAGTCTAAATAGTTGAAAGTCCGAATAAACCGAAAGAAACCCAAACCCACGCCTTAAAGCAACAGTACCTTTGAGCCAAACAAGTCATTACCTGGTTTCACAAAGAAACAGTAAGTAAGGTCTGAAGAATTGCAGGATGAGTTAGAGCTGCAGGCAATGGTGCATTTTGCACTGAATTTTGTTGTGACTGTTGATCCTTCCCTGGGAAAAACATTACAGGACAGCTCTGGTAGTGGAGGCATCATACTAACAATGTAATCTTTGTATTTATAATCGCCACTGTCACTTATCCCTAAAAATAAAACATACATGGAACAAATATGCAATTTTATTGCACTTCTACTGTAGCTCCAACAATGTCAAAAAGTACTTGTTATCTTCAACAACAAAAACAAAGTTGCTGGAAAAGCTCAGCAGGTCTGGCAGCATCTGTGGGGGAGAAAACAGAGTTAACGTTTCGGTTCCGGTGACCCTTCCTCAGAACTGATGGTGGCTGGGAAAACATCAGTTTATATGCAGAAAATAGGGAGGTGGGTGGGGTAGGGAGTAAACGATAAGATAGAGCCCAAAGAGAGAGAAAGACAGAGATAGTAGGAACTGCAGATGCTGGAGAATCTGAGATAACAAGGTGTAGAGCTGGATGAACACAACAGGCCAAGCAGCATCAGAGGAGCAGGAAGGCTGACGTTTCGGGCCTAGACCCTTCTTCAGAAAAAACTAACAACAGGGGGTGTGTAGTGTATTAATGTATTAATAGACTAACAACCCCCTGTTGTTAGTCACTAACAGTCCCCATTAACAACTATTTACCCTCCCAGCCTGATCGTTAGCAACTCCTTTGTCTGTCCAACTGTCTTTCTCTCTCTTTGGGCTCTATCTTATTGTTTACTCCCTACCCCACCCACCTCCCTATTTTCTGCATAGAAACTGATGTTTTCCCAGCCACCATCAGTTCTGGGGAAGGGTCACCGGACCCGAAACGTCAACTCTATTTTCTCCTCCACAGATGCTGCCAGACCTGCTGAGCTTTTCCAGCAACTTTGTTTTTGTTCCTGATTTACAGCATCCGCAGTTCTTTTGGTTTTTACTTGTTATCTTCAACTATCAAAAGTCATTTTCCTGAATGGCTTTCACCTTCAAAGTATATGTAACCAGACAATCAGGAGCCAAACCTAGAAAAATTAGGCAATTGACCAAACTCAGGCAGACTTGTTTCAGATTAGGATCCTAAATAGCATTTGAGCAGCCATACTAGGCCAGCTTGCATAGTGCCAGTGCACACGCTTCATATTTTATACCGTAGCAATTCCAAATTTTCCCTGTTATGTTCAGCAAATAGAATCATCAGGTAATGCACCTCAGGAGCAGAATGGTTCACAAAATCAGAAAAAAATTGCCCATGTTGACACTCTTCGCTGCTCTTTCTGTCTATATTACTAAGTGTATTAGTGAAAAAGAGGTTGAAGAAACACAAATAATTGAATTCAGCTAATAATCATTCATGGTTAAAGAAGAGAAGGAAAGAAAATGCATGTCAGTGAAATTTAATGTCCTGAGTACGATTAAGGGACAGTCAGCAATAGGGAGACAAATATTCAGCAAACCTTTTGGAGACAACCCATCGACACTTCTTGTGAAATTTATAAGGCCAGGGCATCAAAAAGTGGCAAAACAAATGAAAGATAAGGAAAATTTAGGTACAGGTGTGAGTTTAATAAACTGATACAAATCAGCAAGCCTGACTTTTACTTCTGTTTTTTTGGCTACTGAAATCATAACTGCACCATCCGAGCATGAAAGAAGATTATCTTCTGTGCCACATCAAAGTTTAATTCCGATGTATCCGTGCCACTTTATCTCCGAAGAGCCAAGTTTCAGTTCACAGCTGACCAATACAGTCTTTGCATGTGACAGCTCTTGAATCTCATGTATGAGCACAGCTTGATGTGATGTGATTTTTCTATACATTAGCTCATTTAACACATACCACAGGAAGTGTCTTATTATACAAATTAGATATATAGGATATATCAAATCTACACACAGTCTGGATTATATGACTACTTATACCGTATCACTAAATTTTGCAGTCTTTTGGCTGATTTAAATTTGAGCTGTTTCCACCATCAAATAGTTATTCACTTTAACATTTTTTAAAAGCAAGATTGATTGGTTAGGAGATTGATTGTGACCTACCGACTGCTCTCACTTTTAATACAGGAGCAAAATTAACAAGATCTTCCTTTCCCAAGACGAGAACAGCTGTGTTTTCCCGCACTAATGTCAATGATTCCCGAGCAATATTTTGTTGTTTGATATTACAGGCAGGAGGCAGGTTGATCTAAAGTAGAAAGTATGCATACTATTACATTGTCAAAAGGTAAGATAAGATTAATTGCAATATTAAAAAGTGCTCTATTTGCACTGACATTTTAATAGTTTAATTATTAGTAGTTTTTTTTCCTTTACCTGGTGTTTTGAAGGATTCACTCTATACCAATTATATTTAACCGGATTCTTGCAATCTTGACAATCAACAGTCAATGTAACACTTTTTGAAATGTCAACTGGACTGCAGTTGTTCTTGCATCTAAAATGTAGCACTCAATGAGTCAGTTTCATTTTCAAGTTATAACTGTTGTGATTAGACCAGTGGTGCTCAACCTTTTTGCATTGATGTGCCACATAAATCAGAGCATAACCTTATATGGGTGCAACAGTATATTTTGGAAACTTTCAAATCATTATGAAATCTGTAAATACCACATTCATCAGTTTTTAATATACATCAATTTAATGTCAGTTTTATTAGATTTCATAAAAACCAAAAGAACTTCAGTTGCTGTAAATCAGGAACAAAATCTAAGTTGCTGGAAAAGCTCAGCAGGTCTGGCAGCATCTGCATCAGTTCTGAGGAAGGGTCACCGGACCCAAAACGTTAACTGTGATTTTTTTCTTCACAGATGCTGCCAGACCTGCTGAGCTTTTCCAGCAAGTTTGTTTTTGTTATTAGATTTCATTTCTTCCCAATGTGTGTAACCATCCCTTTAAAACAGTCTGAGTTTTACAGGGCTTATAGAGTCTAACAATGCATGTTTCCAGAAGATAAAAAAAGTAGAGAAAATCTGCCTGATTTAAAATATTACACTTGCCATGTTAGTGAGCTATCTGAGGTTGTCTGAGAAATGATGAACCAATGTGTTGAGAGCTCTCTGGGATCTTTTCATATGAGCCTCCCTTATTAAATATTATTTTGATAAATGAAAAAAACTCCAAATTTCACAAACAATTGTCTCCTTTTAATTGTATCCTGTCCACCACATTTATTTTCTGACTGGATAGAAATTCTGCATTAATATGGCTTTATTCATAGGAAAACAATGTATTAACCTGTAATGACCCAGAGTACTAACAGAGCCAACAGCTGCAGCATTTGTAACGACTTCCAATGATGCCCTGTTGCACCAAGATGGCACACGAGGCAAACCTTTCATCAGTCTAGGAATGGGATGCCCCCTGTCTCTGGGCCCAATATGGTTTCCATCCCTGATTCTGCCTCTTTGTTGTTTTGGGAGGCAGCAGCTCCAACTCCAGCCTGTCCTGATTTGGCGTGCTGTATTGTTATGCTCCGGCTGGCCCTATGTGGCCCACGGCCTAAAGGTTGGGCACCCCTTGGTGAGACAACTAAAGTTCCCAACAAAGTACTTACTTTTCACTGGAGCATTCTGAAAGAAAATATAACGTAAATACCTTTTTATGTATCCCAGTGTTATGTTTTATTTTGTTTTATAATGCTCATGTGAAGCACTTTGAGATATTTCATTATATTGAAGCATTATAAAACTGAAATGGTTGTTATATTTTGAAGATATCAAAAGCTGCTTACTAATAAATTAGAAATCAAACTCAGATGACTTAGGATCCCATTGTTAATAAGTTGTCATTGCCTCAGGCTCTGTCATACATTTTGTTCCATCTCCTGGAGTTACCCAAAGAGTTTTTCTTGAACTAAATCACTCCCACAGACTCACAGCTCTTGTTGCCTTAACCAAACATTCTTACCCAATACTTTCATTGATTGCAATGATAATGAACATGCCTCTTGAGTACAAACTGATCTCCTGTGAGGTAAAACTCTATTCTAAACACTGTACGATTTGCTAAGACCTTTGCTTTAAAAATAATATTATGTACATCTCTGAAGAAACATTTTAGCACTTTGTTTCGTTGAATGCATCATTTTACAATTACCAACAAAAAATGTTTTATGATAATATGAGACTGCGAGCAGGAACAAGCCCAATTTGAAATATGATGTTCTTTTATATTTTCATTAAGGTTTGAAATATTTTGGAGTCAAGAATGGTGTGAGATTGAGAACCACTGTATTAGTTATCCAGTGGTAATGGAGAGATCTCTGAGTGCAATGGAGAGAAATTTATGTCAGAGTTGGCTGACATGTTTATGTCCTTCAGTTGTCTCTGCCCTTGTTGTCAATTCTGAGTAGACTACAAATTTATGCTACCTAATTTTGTGTGGTAAATGTCAAAAGCAAAAGCTGATTGTAAACCCATCCATAGTATTGTGTATACTAGCAACATCTTCTGATAACCCCTTAACGTGTCAAAAGACAAAACTATTTTATTTGAAAATTCAGCCAACAATGCATCCTAAAATGTCACAACCTGGGACTGCTGTCACTATACTCATTCTACTTAGACTATCTTAATATTGTTGCTTACGTCTTTGCTCATATTATCATCATCTTTCCAAGGGTCAAATATAAAGAAAATGCTTTTTGGTCAAAAAACCCACTGGTAATTTCCATGGGAAACTATAAACCATACCCAGAAACCACTGTGTCCGAGGATGTTCATTAGTGGGTCAGTGTGGATTCAACTCTAAACTGGTATTGCAGGTTAGCATGGTGAGGATTGGTGAATGAAATCTAGAACTGGAAGCCTCTAATCTCATTTGATTCAGGATACACATTCTAAATGATGGCAATCTAGTAGGAAGCTAGACTTTGTGCCATTACCAAGCTTGGAAACTGTTAAAAGGTAAGAAACACAAATCCGCCTGGTGACATTATCCCTGCCTTCAAAATATTGCATAATGACAATACACTTTGAATCAATGCCCAGGACTATAATTAAACTGGGCACCTATTTATATAACATCTAAATGCATACAATACTATTGCTGAAAATGAATTGCAGACTATGCATGGAAAAATGACCTAGCTCATTAACCATCCTACAAACAGTAATGTTCAAACCAAACGTGACTCCCCTACCTGATATCCATGCCCGTTTTGCTCTTCTTGGTGAAGATCAGACATTTTTCTGCTGTACTGTTCAATGTGTCAGGTTTACTTACAGTTAGCTTGATTGAAATGAAAGAATTAGGTGGAGGTAGGCAAGATGGATGGATGGTCAGGTCTTGGTAAGCTGTAACAATTTGATTATTCTGCACACAAATATCCCATAATGGCCAGCATACACCTTCAAAAGACAAAGAGAGATAACATGCAGAAAATAATGAATTACAATTTCATGTTTAATATAGGAATATAATTTGATATAGATTGGAACATCACAGCTGTTGCTAGGTTCACTGTCTGAAAATTTAAGTCTTTTAATACGTGAGTCGTTGCACGTTGTCTTTGTAACAGAAAGGATATTAGTACTAATCTTAAAATCAATTAAAAAATAGACGATAACCTGAGGGTAGCCAGAGACACTCATTGTAACCATTACTATTTTATCTCACAGGCTGTTCAGCCCACAAAGTGTACCAGTCCACCCTTAACTCTAAGTTATGTTATTACAAGTTTAACATCAACCTATAGATAAGATTAACTCCACAACTCAAGTGTGAAGTAGTGCAACCTAGCATAAAGAATTACAATATTAAGGTTTTGCTCCAAGATTCTTTCGGCTTTAAATAAAAGCAGCTGGTTCTTCATGATGTTGCACGTGGAAAGTAAAGACCAAAGGCACTTTGCAGGTCAAGAAGATTTGGAGGATACAGAGTCATTGACCTGTGGAGAGGAAAGAAAGGACAGTAGAGAGGGAGGGAAAGAATAGAGGAGAAGGCAAGGGTAAAGTTTGAGAAGGGAAACCAGAGATCCTTCTGTCACTACACCATTACTTCCCTTCAACAGGATAGATTTTCACTGGTACTGCTGGTAGAAACAGAGTTGTGGTTTCTCTATATTGATGTATAAAGTCTTATTCGTCCATTCCACACATGTTTAAAATAACCCGTTGACAGTTTCAGTGGGACAATACTATCAGATAGTGGGACAGCCTGCCTAACTCAGAGAGAAAGAAGGCCTTCACAAAATGCCAATTGTAGTGTGCAGATTTTTTGGGATCACTTTTCAAAATTTCTTACGATTATTAAAGAAAGTTGCAGCTTTGATTTCGTTCAGTTTGTAGCTTGATAAGAGTTGAGGGAGAAAAAGAGATAAATTTTAGCCAGATGCACTTTAAGCAGAAAAATACTAACTTATCATTTATTGCAGAAGAAAGGGACTGGAACCTGTACACAGTTTGGAGACAGAGTTTATGAGGGGGAAATATGCTGGAATATTTGCCTAGCTTGAAGCTAGTGGAGAATTCTACAGTAATCTTCAAAGTGTAAGTCCAGAACAAAGAACATTAGGTCATTGGAGAAGGAGGGTACCTTATTTTTAAATCCATAAGCAGAATGTAGTGAGGTCCAAACTTGGGTTGGGAAGTCCATAATCATGAGCTTATTGAAGGAAAATTGGAGGGTCTCTTAGACAAAAACTAATGGAAGGATCCCCTGAAGTCATGTATTTTAGAGAATAGTTGGAACACTGCAGAGTAATGAATATGAATTCCAGAGAATTATGGCATACTTGATTTCATCTCTGGAGGAAAAGTGAATGAACCCCAAGGTCTTATAACTTATAAGGGTGGAATTAAGAAGTGAAAGGGGAAATGGTTATATACTCTAAGTCTTGACAAACTAGCGTTAAGTTAATGATGCTTGCTTTAGCTATATGTGATATGGTTTCTTCTTGTTTAAGAACATAAGACCTTCTGGCAAATTTCTTTCAGTTAATGCAATTCTGAAGAAGGGTCATTGGATCTGACATGTTAACTCTGATTCCTCTCCACAGATGTGCCAGACCTGCTGGGCTTTTTCTGCAATTTTTGTTTTTGTTTCTGATTTCCAGCATTCACAGTTTTTTCTGTTTTCCTTTCAGTTAATGACTGGTGTTGTGATAGTAAAAATGGACCATCAAAATGTAACTTTCATAATTTGAAGTTAGTATCTGCAATTTTCATGGTCTAAAGCTGTTTTTAAAAATGGCTATTGTGATCACCTGACAAGCCCCTCTGGATAACCCATATGTGATACAAAAAAAAGTGACATTACAATTCCCATTTTAATCAAGCAGCACTGAAAATCAGTGAAGTTTGAAGAAATACACATTTCTTATTTTACGTCTGGCAGCCTCAGTGGAGAGAAAGCAGAGTTAATGTTTCAAGTCCAGTGACTCTTCTTCAGAACTGATAGTTCCTAGGAAATTGTGGTATTTATATTGAAGGCAAGGCTGCTGGGAGGGCAGGTTTGATGGAGGGAGGTGGAGTGAGCAGATAGGCAGAAATGGAGCCCAGTGAGAGAGAATGACAGTTAGGAAGGCAATGAGATGGTTGGTAGTATGCTGAAGAGAAAGGAAAGCTGGTAATGGGGACTACAAGTTGGGGAAAATAGGCTAGTTGAGCTGAAAGCGGCCCATGTGATGACAGGGTCTGTGTGGGGTGGATCAAGGACATGGAACAAGGTATTCAGTTTCTAAGCTGACTGAATTCCATATTGAGTCCTGAAGGCTGCAGAGTCCCCAGTTTGAAATGAGATGCTGTTCTACCAGCTTGAGCTGAGCCTCACTGGACCACTGCAGCAAGCCCATGACAGAAATGTTGGCCGGGAAACATGGTGGTGTGTTGAAGTGGCAGGCAATCGAAAACTCAGGGTCATTTTTGCAGACAATAAATAGGTGTTCTGCAAAGCCTTCAGGACTCAATATTGAGTTCAACAATTTTACAGCCTGAACACCTTGTTCCATGTCCTTTACCCAACCCCACACCACAGGCCTTGTCATGACCTGGGCTGCTTTCGGTACAGTTTATCCATTTTCACCCTTTTGGTCTTTGGTCCCCGCTATTAGCTTCTCTTTCTCTTGAGCATACTATCATCCATCTCCTTTTTTCCCTAACTGTCATTCTCTCTCTCTGGATTTCATCTCTGCCTGTCAACTCACTCCCTTTCCAACCGCAACCCTTGTCTTCAGCAAAAATACCACCTTTTCCGAGCTATAATCAGTTCTGAAGAAGAGTCACTAGAAGAAGAGTTCATTCTGCTTTCTCTCAAAGATGCTGCCAGACCTACTGACTTTCTCCAGCAATTTCTGCTTTTGCCTACAAAATGTTAGATTGCGTCAGAGCAATCTAATAGAACTGTTTAAAATAATTAACAAAATATGTAGATAAAATTAAAAATGTAGATTGAATATTTTAATAAACTCTTGCTTGGTGGCTAATAGAAAACACTCTTATGCCCGGATGTCTTGCTGGGAATAAGTTGTGATGGATTAAGTCACATCTGACACACAGAAGGACTGTGTAGACTGGATGTGTGCTGGATGGAAAGTGTGATAAGTGGAGTCCAATAGCTTTGATTAAAACTCTTCAATATTTTCTGAAATTACCCAAATTTGAGTAAAGATAAGTTCACTTCCAAGTTCATGGATGACATTAGACTGGCACTGACAACTAATATAGTGTCAGATGGGAATATTCGGCAGGGAGACAAAACATTTTGGAATGTGGACAGACTAATTTATCAACAACACCCCGAAGAAACCCTGAAGAAACATCCCGACCTGAAACATCAACTTTCCTGTTTCGCTGATGCTGCCTGGCCTGCTGTGTTCCTCCAGCTCCACGCTGTGTTGTATCTGATGCCAGCATATGCAGTTCTTGCTATCTCAGACTAATTCATCAATGCATTTTAAGTATAAAGCAAATAGAATGAACTTCCAAAGGGAATTTCCTAATTGACTGCAGTAATTTGCATATGCTGAGAAATGATATCAATGGTACTTATACCATTTATCTGGGATTTCTGTAGATGTACTACTAAAATTACAGTGGAATTTAACTCTAAGGCACTTCAGGATACAAAACAAGCTGAGGAGTTACATGATTAAAATGACTGACGCAGATTAATTAACATGAATGGATCAGGTAAAAGAATTTGGTAGTCTTGGTAGTCAACAGTTTGATAAATTGTTGGAACACCAAGCTAACCCTCAAGAGCTATCAATAAAGATGAAGGTAATAATCCTGTTGTTATAGTGAGTTATGGTCAGGTCACATCTGGAGTACTCCAAAAAGGCATGTTGATAAAGGCACTTTGTTCAATTTAATTGGAATATGTCAATGCAAATTGGTACACTTACACAAATCAAGTTAGGTTGTGATTACTATACTGCCATTGTCTTTTTACCAAAATTAATTAGGATTTGTTTTAAAGAAAGTTGAATTACTTTGAAAAGTTTTTAACAAAAGAACATTGTTAAATTCCAGATTCTTCAGTTACGTACCACATGACCACTGGAAAGTCATTTCACTGTGGTCATCCATGATGTGATGCTTCGATTTCCTCCCACTCAGAACAAGCTGGGAAAAGGGATTTGCCACCTCCAGTTGTCCACCATTTATTTTAGCTTGAAAACTTTCAAACTGTAGTTTCTCATCTGGATCCCCTTTCAGAAGTGACTGGAACAAGAAAAGAGGGGCAAACTGCTTGTGGTCAAGTTGATAAATAGCTAAGAAATGATGACTCAGCATTTAATTTGCTGGACAACAATATTGTGGAAGAAGAATCTAGAACTTGGGACTACACTTTCACAACGAGGAGGCTCCTGATCAGCACAGACATGAAGAAGATTTTATTTTCTCATGAAGGGCTTTTAATCAATGGAATTCTCTTTAGCAGAGAGAAATGGAGATGATTGAACATATTCAAGGCTGAAACTAACAGAGGTTGGAACTATAAATGGAGTTAAAGAGTTATGGAACCAGGCAGGAAATAGTGGATTGAGACCATGATCTGGTCAGTCATGAAATGATTGAATAGTAGGCCAGACTCAAGGGACTGAATGGCTTAATCATACTCATATTTCTTATGTTCTTATGTATATAATAAAGTGTTTGGCAAAAGTGCCATTGGTAATGAGAAGACAAGCCTTTTAATGCACCAAGAGACTAGGATTGAAATACAATGCCAAAGAGTGTGCTGGAAGCAAAATGAACTGAGGTGTTCAAAAAGATGGTTATGTGAAAAGAAAAGATCTGAGTTCTCCATGTAAAATGTTAGGGAGTCTGACCAGGTGACTCCTTCTTGCAGAGAACTTGCAAGGACATAATGGGGCAAATAGCTTTTTCTGTACTGTAACAAATCCATGGACTGGATTTACTGCTCTTGCCAGGGATAGCTTATCAGGGGAGGGGAGGGGAGGTATACAATTAAGTGTCATGCCATGCGTGCCAATTCAGATGGTTGCCCATCTGCCTCCATGCCCACTGTAAATCCCCAGCATATGGGGAAGGTGTCGGGAGGCTTGCCACTCCATTGGTTCATTGAGGTTCTTAAGAGGCTACTTACTGCCCACGGTTTCCATGTGGCAGGAGTCTGGCACAGCGTCCCACCCGACAGGTCTCACTAGTCAACAGATAGTTGGTCAAAGTGAGGAATGCTTCCTTTACAAGCCTCCTGTGCTAAATCAGAGACCAGCACCTCAACACCTTCCCACCTTGTGTTTCCTTCCCTACCCACTTACACATTCCTTGCCCCCCTCATGCAGTGAAATAGCCCAGCCACAACAACACCACAGACTGACTTTAGAATTCAGTACGGCAGTCCGAGCAGTAACTGGGACAAGGGCTGCCGGTCACTTGATTCACCAAAAACTCTGTGATAGAGGGTAGAAAGCCATCCTCAAGTCAACTAACAGCCCAACAACTGATAAATGGTTGTAGGGTGAACTGGAAAAGTCAGATCAGACTTAACCCTGATATTACTCTATTCTCGACCACCAACAATAAAATTTAATCCGAGAACAGAGGAGTAGGAGCAGTACTTGCAGAGGCAATGACTCCACTGATATAATCAGATATTTGTAATATTGAAAACATTTCCAAATGGATTCATTTACTATGTAGTGACTGAGGGTGTAATATTACAGGAGATTACCAAGTGGTATGCTTAATACTGTGATTACTTTATCTTTACAATTTGATGATATAACATATCCAAATAATCTAGTTATAAAAAATCTGTGACAGTTTTCATGGCTAAGAAACTTTAGATTTCCAACTGTTGGAAGGAACCACAGTAAATGCCAGAGAAATTAGGCCAACCCAACAGATGTAGATTTTCTTTCTCACAGAAGTTTTAAATGTTTACACATCAGATCATGTATGTTAATCACTTACTTTTGTTGGAGACAATTTGGCTTGGTCCTCTTTTTCATTAAGTAAGGCAGCTGTTGGAATACAAATAAAGGAACTTAAGGCAATTCTGTCTGATTACAACAACAACAACTTGTATTGATATAAAAACAAAAATTTCTAGAAAAACTCAGCAGGTCAGGCAGCATCTGTGGAGAGAGAAAGCAGACTTAACGGTTCTGAAGAACAGTCACTGGATCTGAAGCATTGGCTCTGCTTTCTCTGTGTAGCTGCTGCCAGACCTGCTGAGTTTCTCCAGCAATTTCCATTTTTGATTCAGATTTCCAGCATCCACACTTCTTTTACCTCTTTTGGGTTGTTTTTATATTTAAGTAGCACATCTAATGCAATAAAATACACCAAGGAATTTCACAGGAACATGACAAAAAGGAAATGCAACTCTGAGCCACCTAAAGAGATATTAGAATGGATGAACAAATGATTGCTCAAAGAAGTAGGTTTTGATGAGGGTCTTAAAAGGGAAAAATGAGGTATAGAGAGGCAGAGAGGTTTAGAGAAGGAATTTCAAAGCTTCATGCCTAGGAAACGGAAGGCATGACCATCAATGGTGGAGCTCCTAAAATTGGGTTTGGCAGCATCAGTGAAGAAAAAAATCAGAGTTAACATTTCGAGTCCGGTGACCCTTCCCCAGAACTGTAAATCAGAAACCTCAGTTCTTTCAGTTTTTACTAACACTGGGGATGCTCAAGAGGCCAGAGACAGAAGAGCACAGATGTATCAAATGGTTGTGAGGCCGGAAGAAGTTACAGTGACAGGTGGAGGCCTGGACATGGATGGATTTGAAAATAAAAATGAGAACTTTAACATTTGGACATCTCTTAACTGGGAACTCATATAGGTTAGGGAACACAATGGTGATGGAGTGAGTAGCTCAAAGGCAGCAGAGATTTGGATACACTCATGTAGGATGTGAGAAGTTGTTCTGGAGTATGATAGAAGTCAAAATAGAGCAGAAGTATTTTGTGGGTTTAGCAGCAAGTGAGTTGAGATGGGTGGAGTTGGGAAATGTCACAGAGGTGGGCTTAGTAATGATGCAGTTATATCCTGGGATTATATATGAGTCTAAGATGGAAGCAGTTTAACCTCAGTTGCCCGGGCAATGGTTGAAGTCAGTGTTTGTGACGAAGATCAAAGCCATTAGCTCCAGTGATTAAATGAGAAAAAGATCATCTTTCTACATCTTGTAAATCATATTACAGAGAAAAAAATATGCTGGCAGTAATATAATATTTTGTCTGGCTCTGCTCATAGTAAAAAGCTCAGCTGGTGGCGAACAGTAGCCCAGATCTGCGTTCAGCACAATGAGGTTTTATGCTGGGAATAGAATTATAAATGTACTCAGACAGAGCTTGTTACACATATAAACTTGAGTGAAACATTCCTTCATGAATCCAATGACAGCAATTAAGCTTTTGAATTTAAGTTAATTTATCTATAAATAGGCTTCAGAATTTGGTGAGAGATTAATCATTTCCCAAGTTTTGCATGGGGTCTGTGTTTTTTAAAACACAAGACTCCTAGTAAAAATTTGAAGCACAAATTTAAAATAGAATTGAAGATTGATATTCAGGTTGAGATTCTTTGATGAGACGACTGTTTGAACAAACTTTTATTCAAAACATTCACAGATGGATCCTCTAATCCTGAGTTTATTTAAATGAATAATTGAAGATTGGCAAATGATCTTTATCCATATTTATTCATGAAGGTTTAAATTGTCAAAAAAAAAACATTCTGAGCTCGATAACATGCTTTTAAAATCATGTGTTAATTAAATACAGATTACAACACGGTAATACATTGTTGAACACAAACAGCCCAATTTGAGTTCATTTTCCACAACAAGAATCGCAGACTTGTTACAGTACAAAAACAGGCCATTCAACCCATCACGTCAACACTGGCTCTCTGAATAAGCATCATGAATTAGTGCCATTCTCCCACCCTCTCCTCATAACTCTAGACATCATCCCTGTTTAACTAATCATCTTGAACGTCTTGATTGAACTTCCCTCTACTTTCAGGCAGTACACTCCAGATCCTAACTACTTGCTGTGTGAAAAAATAATTCTCACCGTACTTATTTCTTTTGTAAATCATTTGAAATCTCTGCCTGCCTATTCTTGATCTTTTTATGAACAGTAATATTTCTTCCTGCCTGCTCTGTCCAGACCTCTCATGATTTGGTAAACTGCTATCGATTCTTCCCGAGCCTTCTCCTCTCCTAGGTAAACAGTATCAACTTCACCAACCTGCCTTCATAACTAAGATTTCTCAGACTAGAACTATTTTCATAAACCTCTTCTGCACTTATTTCACAGCGTTCACATCCTTCTGAAGGTTTGGTGTCCAGAACTGTACACAATATGCCAACCGAAGATGAACTAATGTCCTGTCCACATTCAGCTCTGTTCTACCCCCTTGAGGTTGGCTCTCTCCTAGCTAATTATTCCTAAACTGGATTGCCCTCTGTCTTTTTCCAACATCATCCTAAACCTTATGATACAATGATCACTGTTCCATACATGTTCCCTCACTGATATCGGCCCACTTTATTCCCAAGAGCCAAGTGTAACTGTGCCTCCTTTCTTGTTGGACTTGGCACACATTATTGCAGAAAATTCTCCTGAACACAAACTAAAAACATTTGCTCCTCACCGCTCTTAAAACTTTCACTATCCCAGTCTATATTTGGGCAATAAAGTCCCCCATTTAAATTACTCTAGAATGCTTCCCCCTGTCTGTAACTTTCTTGCAGAGTTGTTCCATTACTCTGTTTTTACTAAGTGGTGGTCTGCAAAGTATGCTGAGAAATATAATTATATGCTTCTTGCTCCTTAGCTGTAGCCAAGTTGATTCTGTCCTTGAACTCTTGGAGATATTTTTTGTTTCCAGCACTGCTATACTGTCCTTAACCAAAACCACCATTCCTCCTTTTCTTCCTTTCCTATCTTTCTTCAACATCCTGAAATCAGGAATACTTAGCACCCAATCCAACTGTTCCTTGAACTAGATCTTTGATATCACTACAACATCACAAGCCCACATAGCAATCTGCTCCCATAACTCACCAATCTTGTTCATTATACTCCTTGCCATCACGTGCATACAGTGTTACACCCCAAAACGAACTCTGTTCAGCTGTAACCGGCTAATACAGGTGTCATCTCCCCAGAGTGTTCCAGGAAGTTGAAGCTATACCTGTTCCACCAACTTTCCAGCCATGTATTGATCTGTTTTTTCTTCCAATTTTGGAGCAAATCGTATGTGGCACTGGGTGTAATCCAGAAGTTACTACTTTTGAGTTCCTGCTGGCTAATTTTCTGCCTACTTTGACAAATTCTGACTGCCGGACCATGACCCCTTTCTACCGATATTGATGATACCATCAGACCATGACCTTTGGCTGATCACCTAGCCTCTGATGAATATCCTGCAGCTGCTCTATGACATCTTTTACCCTTGACCTACATGGAAGCAACATACGATTCTGGAGTAATGTTTATAGCCTTGGCCCTTTTCCTTTTATTCCCTTTTCCTTCAATCACTTTTCCTTAAATGAATTAATTTGTGAATTAAATTGGTCGGGATATATGGATAGGAGAGTCAAAGCTATATTTGACTGTAATAATATATATTAAGAAAGTAAAGCAGCTAGATTCTGAGGAAGGTTCACTCAACCCGAAACATTAACTCTGATTTCTCCACAAATGCTGCCAGACCTGTTGAGCTTTTCTAGCAATTTCTGTTTTTGAGCCAGATTCATATCAAAGTACTACTGATGCTAAAGATCTGAACAAATTGAACTTCACATAGAATGTTGTGCATGTGTATTTTGTAACAATCATTTTCTGTAACAAAAGAAATAAAATTGCAAGAAACCTGAGATTGTAGACTTGTTCACCGAGGTGTGTTTGATTGCAGACGTTTCATCACCCTGCTAGGTAACATCGCCAGTGTGCCTCCAGTGAAGCATTGGTATTCTGCCCCGCTTTGCACACCGGCTCAGCGAGCAAGTCTACAACCTCATCCACAACCCGAGCTACAAATCTTCTCAAAACCTTATGCAAGAAACTTATAAATTGTAGTTCTGCAGACAAGAATCACACAGTATTTGTGTGCAAAGCCGTAATTAATTGTTGGGTAATAAAGAAAAAGTACTTTCTCCCTAATGGACAACAAATGCATTGCCTACAGATTCAGATGAAATCAGTTCTAGTGGAATGAAATAGGACATGGGTTATATGGTCATGCTGCCCAGTATTCGGTCCCATCGACTTCAATGGCAGGCGTAAACCAAGTGGAAGAAGTCTGGAGTTTTGATTAGTGTTGTAAGGGCTTCAACTTTCTTTCCACATTTGGTTGGTCAGGAATCACTCTCAATCTTACTACTGGCCATTGGTACATTTTGTGGACTGATACTCAACACACGTGATCACATTACAAATATGTCTTCCTTGACTATCATTCCTGGGATGGGACTTGAACTTCTGGCTCAGAGGCAGAGACACTATTCACTGCACCACATGACCTACAGTTATTAACTACACCAAAGATATGCTTAAGTCATCAGAGTGGAACTGGAATCTACATCTTGCTGACTCAGAGGTGGGAATGTTACCATTGAGTTAAGGCTGGCGTCCTAAATGTTTGTATTGTCTGAGTATGGGATGAATTGACATTGGAAGTATATTTCTATGGTCATAATAACAAAATACTGCAGATGCTGCAAATATGAGAAAAGAACAGAAAACACTGGAGAAGCTCAGTAGGTCCAAGGAACATCATCTGTCAGTGAGGAGGAAGGATGTAAAAGAGAAACTTGCTTCAAACTCACTTTCTAGGTGAAACAGTGATTTACATGCATTTCTTTCAATCTAGATTATTGTATTCCCTACTTACAATGTGGTGCCTCTAAACTGGGGAGGGCGAATGCGGAAATGTCAGTCTTCAAGCATAACCCTGACTTTCCAGTCAGAAGCCATTTCAATGTAGCACCATGTGCTCACAGACACAATTTTATCCTATGTCTACTATACCAGTGAATCCCAACATAAACTGGAAGAACAGCACCTCATCTTCTGTTTAGGCACTTTTATAGCCCTCCCAACTCAAGATTAAATTCAACAACTTCAGACTTTTTTGTCTGTCCTCCGTTTGGTTTAGCACCTCCCCCTCTCCCAACCCTACTGACAGCTCTTCAACTCGCCTCCCAGGACATTCTGAGCCTCTGGTTTTTATGACTGTGCTTTCATCAACACTGACATTCTTGATTTGACTCTTGATTTGACTCCTTCCTCTGTACCTAATCCCACTCCGTCTACCTTTTGTTCTGTGACACCCTCATCCTCTAACCTTCCTTGGATCATCCCATCTGTTCTACTTGGGCATCTCCACTTCTCCCTGCAGTTTAAATCCCATCACTTTTCAATGTCACTCTTCAGTTCTGAAGAGGAATCACATTGCCCTCAAAATGTTAACTTTTTAATCTCTCCTCAGGTGCTGTCAGATCTGCAGAGTTTCTCCAGCGCTTTCTGTTTTGGTTCTGTGGCACTTTAAATCTTCTCACAGCTTCTAGCGTGAACAAAGAGGTGAAAAGTTACATGATAGTAGGACATGCTGATGTTATTTATAATCAAATAAAACATTACAATATTTACCTCCATCATCCATATCACGGTGTATTTGATTTGAAGTATTTGCTACAACAGTGATATTTCCAACATTAAAACTAACTCTAGAAACCGCATTGATGGCATTCCCTCTAACCAGAATAGTACCTGCAGATTGGTGGAAAATAAAGTTGATATCAGTATAATTAGAATCAATATATCAACGATGACAGCTGTTTCTAGATTTCACTTGTCTAATGATGGTGAATGCTCTGTGGAACAAGTGTTCTAACTAAGGAAGGACTCATGTTAAAGATAAAGCCCCTGAATCTTTTGGGAATTAGAATCATACAATCCCTAAAATGCAGAAAAAAGCCATCCAGCCCATTGAGTCTGCACTGATATTCTGAAGGTCCCACCCAGACCCAGTCCTCTATCCTATTCCCGTAACCCACACTTAACACGGTTAATCCACCTAGTCTGCACATTAGCACTTTTCACTGTATTTTGTAAGAAAATACATCTATAGACAATAAATAAATCAAACTCCTCAATAATACAGGCAATTTAGCATGGCCAATCCACTTAATATGCACATCTTTGGACTATGGGAGGAAACCAGACAACCCAGTAGAAACCCACGCAGACACAGAGAGAATGTGCTAACACCACACAGACAATCATCCAAAGTTGGAACTGAACCCAGGTCCCTGGTGCTGTCAGGCACTAGTACTAACCACTGAGCCATCCTTTTGTCCAATTATACAGGTTTCTGGCAGATTTCCCAGAGGTGATTTTGTTTGGCTAAAATTGGATGTCTACATAATTTGCCCAGAGTTGCTGCCAGTTTCCCCCCCCAACTCCCAAATGTGGGACCACAGTTTTGATAACTTGATGGAAATAAATATATCTGTGGGTCCTAGCTAACTTTATCATTCCATTTAAATCTTGATATCCTGATTTCCTGACTCAAGTCAATCCTCATTTGATGCATGATTATTTGAAACAAACAATCATTCAGTTAATAATAATCCAGTAAATGCAGACATTTTGGTAAATACTCCTGCAAAATGGCAAGGAAATTGTGTTACCTTCAGAATTCATTGGAATGCTGTAAGCCCCCACGTTTCCATCAGGAATTTCAATGGCTTCAGAAAACGTCTCCTTTGGACCAATAAATTCAAACTGTAGCTCAATTGGGGCACCACTGGACACTGAGATGTTAACAGTGAGATCATTTCCCAACTCCAGAACTGCTGAATTTACAGTAGCTTGCAAATCCTTGATTGGCTCCACCAATTGAACCGTAATGTTCTGAGATAACTCGTGAGTTGTCACATTATTCTTAGCAAGAATGGTTAGTTGATGTATGCCTGGTCCTATCTGAAGCTGAGCAGCACCTTCTATTGTGACATTCTGAGGTCTGCTTCCTCTGAACACAGTGAATGTATGAAGGACAACAGCTCCTGCTCGTACAACATACGTCACATCTGTACCTGTATAAAGCAGAAATTTGAGGATAATTATTCTGAACTTTTTTTAAAATCAGACTCTTCTAAACAAAACTGATCACAGCCCATAAAATATATGTTTTAAAACGTATATGTATTGCTGATTAACTTTGCAGAATGTTCCCTATTCTTTTGCTCTAATTTTGGCAGATCAATTTTCAAAACACAATTCGAAGGATTCTGCTGATTTCTGCCAATGTTTCTACAGTGAGTCCAGAGGCCCATAGAATCACTAGGTTGTGGTGTATATTTGTACTATTTAAAGTAGAATTCATTTACAGGTGTCCACTAATTGTTCTAGTTGTATCTATGCAGTTATCACAGCTGCTGCAATTGCCTTCGAACCAAACATGTTTCCCTTGGGCCTATAGATTGTTGGGAGGGACAGAAAATGAGTGATAATTTCTTGGTCATCAATCTCTAAATTCCTGTCAATAATCTTAATGTTGTCTACTTTTATATACTGTGTCTCCCCGGTAATATCCCTTCACTGACAAATCACAATTCCGTTCTCAGACGTTCTCAGATCTTCACTTGTCACAGATGTACATTACTTGACATTTATGTGAAACACATCTGATCCATTTCTTGGATATAAGGAGCCCAACCCAAAACGTCAACTTTCCTGCTCCTCTGATGCTGCCTGGCCTGCTGTGCTCCTCCAGCTCCACACTGTGTTATCTTTGACTCCAGCATCAGCAGTTCTTACTATCTCTGAGTGAGTTATAACTCCATTGCTGAAGAAATATCCCGACCCAACCTGATCCATTTCTCACCTGCCCATGCTGAAGTCTGTCCAGTTCTCTCATAGGCAACAGTAGGCTACTGCCCTGAACAGCACTCTTTTTTGTCATTATGGCCTACGCTGCTTATTTTATGTGATGTGACAGTTACTTTATATCAAAAGATAAACAAATGCATAGAGTATACATATATTCACACAACCACACCTGGAAAATAAACTGTACCTTCTTCAACTTCAAGCTGAATCCAAAGTGGATCCCCGTACAGAACACTGCAGTCATTATTGTCTTCTGACTGATTAACATTGCAGCACTTGATGATTCCAAAACCACTGATTGGTTGTTGGATGGATACAGTTTTCTGGGCTGCCACATGCCATTCGCTAGTTGTACATTCAACATTGATAGTGAAGAGTCCTGGGGTCATATATCTGTGAGTCACATCGCTTGAAGGCCTTTACAAAACAGTAAAAATAATCCAGTTGAAATCTACAACAGGTAAAAGTGAGGAGAATCACGTTCTAATGAGTAATGTTGATTTCATTAAGTCAAGATTTTCTCTGTAAATACCTCTTATATTTCCTTTGGTAAATGTATTTGAAATGTATTGTTGCCATTTTGTGTCATTGGTGATGATTCAATATTCAAAAGTTTTAAATTTAGTTATCTGATTAGTTTGTAGTGTCACAGGTTTTTGTATTTCAGAAAAAATATGAATAATCTTCATAGAATTTAATTCCAGCATTAAAAGAATGGAAGCATCTTATTACTTTTATGAGATATATTTCTGTATTTTGGAGTCACTGACTACCAAATATAGGCTTAGTCTATCCAAAATAAAACACTTCTGCTTTTATTTTTCAATAATACATGTTCACTTTTTAATTATTATCATCTGAACTGTGCACAAACCAGAATAATTGAATGATTTGACCTTTTACTGTTACTTGCCATGCCAGTAAAGTCAGAGAAAATTAAGTCAACAGTATAGGTCTATAGCAGATAGAAAGATAGAATGGATACACAGTGCATGAATTTCTGCCTACATTGCACTTAATTCCAGCAGAAAACACAGTTATGTTCTGTGGGAGAAATTTATCAGCTCTCTACTTCCCAGGGGCACTTTCACTATATTTTGCAAGCACTGATGCAAAAAGAGCTTTTTAAAGAATTAACACAAAGAATAGACAAGCCAATGCAATTCATGTGAAGTGGGCTTTCAAGATGTCTTTGAAAATGTGTCCCATCAGAGACTCACGGTGAATCATTGGTAAGGAACAAGAGAGTCAGAATTGATTGAAAGATAGCGACAAAAAGAACGGGTGGACTTAATGGATGTCCTTGAAACAGTAAAGCAGTGGGAAACACTGTTCCACAAAGATCTTTGCTGACATCATCCTTTTTTCACATTCACAACTCATGGGATTCAGAATTTTGAGGCATGCTGTTGAAATTGGAGCGTACCGAAGTGGGGTGTGTGGCAAATAATGTGGAGGACTGAACAAAAATAAAGATACAAACAGGCGAACATTGTGAGTGGACAAAAGGCAGATAAGGTTCAAATAATGAACAATTCGATCCAAATTTAGAGCATTTGGAAAGAGGAAAGCCATGCAAGTTTAATTTCTTGATTTGCTAATAGCCATTTGTTAGTACAGAATTTGAATATTGCTAACAAAAATATGCATTTTTTTGGAAAACTCTTTTGATACCGAATATCTTTTGAAACTTGGACATTCATTAACTTTTAAAAATGGCATTTCTTAGCATTTGCAAAATATTTTACTGGAAAAACATTGTGATACTTCAAAATTCAGTATTTTCTTCTTTATACAAAGTGTTAACCATGTAAAAATGTGAACAGAATGATATTTTTGAATTATACACAAAACAACTTCCATTGTTAAATGAAATTGTTCAGAATGGTCAATTGGACATTGATAAATTTTTGGTAAAAAAGATAAAGCTTACAAATACAGTACTTAAAATGAAGAACATAGTACTGAATCATTTATACTATCTCAAATGGATGCAATCCTGAGGATGTGAATCATATTCCAGATAACACCATTCTCGAAAATCAAAACCAGTATCTGTCATTATCACTTCCAGATCACAGGGTAGCAAGAAGAGATATAGGTAACGAACAGAAACATAAAACCTGAAAACTACATGTAGTTGTTCAATTTTGTAAGTGGAATAAGGTGCTCATTTGTTCCTAGAGGGATAAGAATTCAATGGGATAGAGACCTGGGAATAATAAATGTCTGTTTTGTTATGAAACCCATATCTGCAGCATTGAGTGTTTGTGTTTTAGTGCAAATGACTTCACCAAAAAAAACAAGAAAGCAACATATGCTCTTATCAATCCAGGTGTCAGTAATAACATCAGTTGGAATCATAACAATACACACATGAGGAGAAGGGAACAAATCAGCAGCATGGGAAGATATAATTAGAAAGAGATGAGTCTTGGTAGAGTGTATAAACAGCAGAGATCAGTTGGACGAACTGGGTTGTTTCGATATAGTAGAATCAATATGATTTCAGCTGAACCCTCACCAGGTTGACACCACATTTTTAGTTACACCTGGTGCTTGTCCTGGCATACTCTCCTACGTGCTTTATCAAGCTGGAATTGATCCCTTGCCTTTGTGGAGCTGGTAGAGTGAATGATATGTTGGGCCTTGAAGTTACAGGTTGTGATGGAATACAATTCTGCCGCTGATCCAGAGTGTCTCAATATTGCTCTTTTTTAAACTGCTAGATCTGGTTTGACCCATCCCAGTTAGCACTAAAACAGACATATCCTCAGTGTGAAGATGGGACTTCATATCCGCGAGAACTGTGCAGTGATCACTCCTACAGCTAATGCCTTGGACAGATACATCTGCCATAGGCAGATTGCTGAGGATGAGCTCGGTCAACTCAGTACTGTCCTCATATTGTTTCTCTCAGCCTCTGCTGCAGGCTAGTCTGGCAGTTACACACTTCAAGACACAGCAAGCTCACAAACAGTGGTGTTATCCATTCATTCTACCCAATGGACGTTTTATGTACATTCTATAATTTGGCTACACGTAATGCTTCTTACAAGTGGCGTTCACTTTAAGTCTCTGCCTAACTTAAATAAGACAAAATACATTGGCATCTGTAGATTATTGGTGGCTGGCATTTGATGAAAAAAGATCATTGTCAGCCTTTGATTCCATACAAACATAACAAAATAAGAATAGAAGTAATCCATTTGGCCCCTGGAGCCTGCTCCAACATTCAATAAGGTCATGGCTGACCTCTGGTGTTCCAATTCCAAATTCCCCTCAACCTATTGATAACCTTAGATTCTTTTGCCTAACAAGAATCTACCTGCCTTTACCATAAAATATTTTGAGAATGCTGATGAACAATAGGTTATTCGCACCCTGTGTCTAACTTCAGGAACTAGGCAGCAAAGATGTTCAAAACAAGAGATAAAAAGGAAGTGTGGTCAGTTGTTTGGGCTATTTTTAAGTAAATCAAAAGATGACCGAACTCCAGGATACCAAGAAGTGCAGGATTATTTCTGCTAATCTTATTTTCAAGCATTACTCACAGCAGTGGATTATAGGGATCAATCACAAAGCCATCGCCAGTGTTAAGTGTGCAGGTGAGGTTTCCAGAATATGGATGCAGCAACCAGTTTGGAGAGATGGTGACATTTTCTAGGATTGAGTACATGTCATCCACCAGCAAAAGGAGACCTAAGTAAAATATCACACAAATTTAAAGTTTCATGAGAGGTTTAATCCTGTGGAACAATTTCACTGTAGTGGGTTGTCAACATCAGAGCATTTCTGCATGTCTAACATCTTTGACCTTATTTACAGCTTTTCAAATGGTCACTCTGTCCATGTTCATAAGGCCATAAAATATAAGAGCAGAATTAGACCATTCAGCCCATTGATCATGGCTGATATGTTTCTCAGCCCCATTCTCCTGCTTTCCCCCCATCAGCTTTGAATAGGACCATAAGATATAGGAGCAGCCCCATGTTGTTGGAGGTTTTCAATTGATTACGGAAGCAAAGTCCAAATCTCTTGATTGAAATAGCAGAAAAATAATTTCATGCAAATGTCTGAGGTTTATTACACTAGTTTCACTCAGGGTGATTTAATCCTGCTACTGCTTTTGAGATTGTTGACAAGAAATTTTGCAGTTGCATTTCCTACCTTCTTTGCAATGGTAGTCTATGACAAGGTAATTGCCTAATCTTGGACAAAGATTTCCAAAGGATGCCTGATCGGCTGTAGATTGGCACGCCTGTAGCCCCTGGCACTGTCCTTAAAGATAAAATTCTAAGTTATATTTGTTTCCTAAAGAAATGTGACATTCTAAAACTTCCCAAAATGAACATTCTACCAATAAATCCACATGGTTGCGCAACTATTCAGATGTATAAAACCATTAATTATCTTCCACACACAATGATGTAATAGATTTAACAATGATTTGCCAGATGCTGTGAAGTAAACAAAAATTCATGTCTCTCTTCAGCATCACTTAGTGACTTGTACCAGAATGTTGTTGACATAGCACTCAAGGCTGGTCATTTGACTACAGTCTCAAACAAAGAATAGTTTTTGGAACAGAAGATGTAAAGTACAAACATCCAAATTTTCCATCCATTATCTTAAACAGACAAAAATATAAGGTGTATAAAACAGATTAGGAAATTCTATATATGGTACTTAACCTGTCGGCAGTTATCACAAAACAGTTACCTGCCACTTCTTCTTTCACATCAATCCAGCTGCATTCCTCTGACTCAGTTGGAGCTACAATCTCAGCTGAACAGTAAGCGAGAGATTTACGGCCATAAAAGCCGCTATCAATTTCAATTACATTCCCAGATGGGCACTGTAGTGTAGCATTAAAGTGATCACAGGCAAATGCTCGGTCAGACTCTAAGATAAAGACAACACAACTTGAGAAAAGCAAATTTACTGTATAGAAAATAGAAAATATCACATCATTAATGGTCAGCTCATACGTACCTTCTTATCACCTAATGGTGCTTTCTCATCCACTTCACAATGGCACAACTTGTAAAATGCATAATGTACTAAATATAAAAATTCCAACATTTACTCATCCCAATTTCAAATTCTTCCAACAACAGAGGTAAGATGGCTAAGAATTCAAGGTTTGGTAAGAGTTTCCAATTTCAGGGACAAACCCTGTGTGTCTTGCCACTAAAGTCTTATGCCACCCTATCTGGCCTCTTGAATTATACTAAATTGCTAACAAATTCTAGAAGATAGTCATTGGACACATATGCTTTCACTTTGATTCCTCATTTCCAATTCCAATACTTAGAACAGGTGTTCACTTGGGGACTCTGACACAGAAACCTCATTTTCACGTACCTCCTTCAGTTAAGCTTCCGATTCAAGGCCCCTTTACCAAAATGGTGCGTCGTAAGCATACAGTGTGAAATGTGTGCATGCTGCCTCTCAAATTTGAGGCTTCGGTGCACGACAAATTGTGTGGCATCATTAAATTTCTTGACCTTGGTGTCTTAAGCAACATGCAATTAAATACGAAAGGTACAAAAGTAAAAGGGAGCGCGTGTATCAGAAATAAGGGGCTGGATTTTATTGGGGCGGGGGGATGGGAATGGAATAGATTACCTGCCCCTCCAGTACCATTCTTCCCTGACCTAATTGTTGCTCAGCACCTTGCCAAGGTGAAACGTGGCAGGCCCGCAGTGATAATACACAGGAAATGGCTTTAATTAATGCAGACTGAGACTCTAGGCCTGAGAGACGGGTTGTCCAATTGTAGACTGTTGCCAACCAATCTGATTGGCTGGCAGCTGTCTAGTTCTAGCTGTGATGGAAGACAGTAGTGGCCATTGCTGGAACCACAAGCAGTTCTGAGAAAGAAGAGAAGACAGGGACCTGACTTCAAGCAATTCTGGGGATCTTGGGTGGGCACGGCTGGGAGACGCCGATGAGCAGGAGGAGGAAGTGGAAAAACTGGGGCATGGGAGTGAGTCCCCTGAAAGAAGATATCCACCCCATTCTGTTCAAGCTGTCAGCTGCCTGCCTTGCTTCTGCTTACTCTCCAGATTAAACAATTGCAGAGGAGAGGGGACAAGGCCATGAATTATTCACTTAAGGGCTTTAATAAGCCTAAGGGCAGGTTGACTTTCTGACATATGCTTGGCCCACCCAGTAGTATGTGGGACAGGTTGGGAAGAGGCAGGAAAGCAGCATGCTGACCACATGCTTTATTTTGCATGCACCCCCTCTGCTGTCAAGTATGACATCAGGAGGCCATAAAATTCATGATAAGTGGATGGTGGAAGTCATCCAGAAGATATTGGAGACAGAGTGAGGTTTAGGAACCTAAGAAATAGGAGCAGGAATTTGTCCACTAAGGTGTGCCCTGTCATTCAATAAGGTGGCACTGATGCCTCACAGCACCAGTGACCCGGGTTCACTTCCATTCTTGGACCACCACCTTTGTGGAGTTTGTACATTCTCTCCATGTCAATGTGGGTTTCCTCTTGATGTGCCGATTTCCTTCTACAGTCCAAAGATGTGCAGGTTAGGTGGATTGGCCACGCTAAATTGTTGTAGTGTCTAGGGATGTGCAGGCTAGGCGGATTAGCCATGGGAAATTGAGGGTTACAGGGATGGGGTAGGAGGGTAGGTCAGGGTGGGATGTTCTTTGGAGGGTTGGTTTGGACTCAATAGGTGGAATGGCCTGCTTCCAAACTGGAGGGATTCTATGAAGACATGGCTGATCTGTTCCAGGCCTCAACTCCTCTTTCATGACAGCTCATCATAGACCTAACTCCCTTATATCTCAAAAATCTATCTACTGCCTCTATAAATACTTACAGTGATCCAACTTTAAGAATTCTCTGGGATAGAGAAGCTCAGACATTCAGTACCCTCTGGGACAAGAAATTCCTTCACACCTCAGTTTTCAATGTGTCCCTTTATTCTGTAACTCTGTTCCTCGTTTGAGACTCCCCCACGAGTAGAAACATCTTCACAACATCTACTCTGTCAAGCCCCCTCAGCATCTTGTATATTTCAATACGATCAATAAGTTAAAGACTCCACGTAAAATTAAAAACAAATGCCGGCAAGAAAACTTTGCAGAGAAGCATCAGAATTTCAGCAGAATGGTGGAGAGAAGGAAATTAAGATCTACGAAAAGGGATTATTTTGTTTGTGTACAGCACTCTGTTACATTAAACTACTAATATTATGCCATACCACACTATGCTATTTCAGGATCTACATTGACTCCAGCACTGAGGAAATAGAAAATAAACCTTGTTTACCCAATTCACAAATGAAGTAAAACTCTTGGTTGCAGTTGGTTGTACCCATCCAGTGGTGTCCAGAGTTCTTGAGGATGTAAGCACAAGTCACTGCTGAAGAGGATTGATGTTCTGGGGACCAGTTATTATATGTGATATTGGTACCATCAAGCCAGGCCAGGACTGTTGTTCAAGAAACATTTATAGACAAAATTATTACAAGTTTAAAGCGCAAATTTATTTTTTAAAATTGCACATATATCAAAATATTATGGTATGCAAGAGGGTTTACTGATAATTTTGTCATATTAAATCACTGCTGTAAGTGCTAAAATGGAAAGATTGAGTAGTAAATTATAATTTTTCATTTACACACATGCTGAGACCATTGCTGTCCTTTTCTTTACCGCAAGCAATTCACAATTTTCTAGGAACAAGCACTTAACTAAGGAATTCTGGCTTTAATTTCTGCATCAATATAGGAAAACCAAACGCGAGTACTCTTCAGGCTGAAACTATCCCAGCCTCCCACGTTATTGCTTGCAATTTGGCAGAATGAAGGGCAGAGACTGAAGAGTAGACAGGGCTGCAGGAAGGTAAATGACCTTACCAGCACTGCCATTAAAATACTCAGGTATTAATAGGAGCAGAAAGGAATACAGAGCCAGCAAATCTTTCTAGGTCAGGGTGGGATGCTCTTCAGAGGATCAGTGTGGACTTGATTGGCCAAATGGCCTGCTCCCACACTGTAGGGGATTGTATCAGGAACAAATCTGACAGCCCGATGATTCTTTTTATTGACTTCAAATAGCTGTTTACACAACCTCAAAAACTCAAGGTTGCATTTACTTTCTGTCCTGAGGATTTCAAAATTGACTAATCTAAGATTAAAGAAGCGTCATATCAGTCTCAAAACATAACTCTGTTTCTCTGTCTCCATAGATGCTGCCAAACCTGCTGAGTTTCTCCAGCACTTTGATTTTATTCCAGATTTCCAGCATCTGTGGTATTTTGCTTTTATTTTAATGGAATATTGTTTGCCAGTTAAAATTAGTGAAATTTTCCCAAATGTTAATATATTTGCAACTAATTTAATTGATGTTCAAAAACCATTAAGTGAATTCGCTGTGAGTGTGACTGATTTCTAAAGATTTTACAGAGTAGTTCGGCTGTTAAAGAGTTAACCAGCTTTTGGCCCTGCTGCTGGAAGGTCTTTTGCAAAGATGCTGCCAAAAAATGCAAATGCAAAGTCTATTTAGGCAATCATTATTTGACCGAGACTCCCACAGCCAAATATTGAGCAAATTGTTAAGTTAGACGATGTTAGTAAAATTTCTGCTTCTTCATTCCTGCACACATAGGAAACATAAATTGATGGGCAAATGTAGACAGCATGTGCAAAGCCTTTGATGCTCAATTAACCGCTGTCCATTCCTTCTAATGCAGGCAGAACAGTGAGGGAAACTATCAGTTCAGGGTTTGTTGCATTACTGACTTGGGAATCCATTGAGCCAATTGGCCGAGTGAAAGCAAGCTACCCGATCCCCCAGCCAGCAAAAGTTTTTATCTAAACTTGGACCCATTCAGACTTGGCTTAAAATGATACCTATATCCAACCTAGTGTCATCAAACCCTGATCTACACATGTCAACTATTAGCTTTAGATGGATCCCTTGATCACATGAACTGACTGAAATCAGACATAATAGAATTAGTTGGTTTTCCAGCAGTTCAGTAACTCATGCATCTTCCAGTTTCCTTAATTTTTCTGTGGCTACGCTCTCTGAGAATCCCATTGAAACTGAGCATTATGACCCAACCATCTTCAGCTGCTTTACCAATGACCTTCCCTCTATCATAAGATGAGAAGTGGGGATGTTCATTGATGATTGCACAATTTTCAGCAACACTCATGACTCCTCAGACACTGAAGCAGTTCATGTTCAACTGAAACAAGATCTGGACAATATCCAGGCTTGGGCTGACAAGTGACAGGTAACATTCGTGCCACACAAATGCCAAGCAATGATCATCATCAATAAGAGGAAATCTAAACACCGTTCCTTAATATCAATGGTGTTACCATCACTGAATCCCCCACTATCAACATCTCAGGGGTTACCATTGAACAGAAACTCAACTGGACTGACTACATAAACACAGTGGCTACAAAAGCAGGTCAGAGACTAGGAATTCTGTGGCGAGTAATCCATCTCCAGACCCTCCAAAGACTGTCCGCCATCAACAAGACACAATTCAGGAGTGTGATGGAACACTCCCCACTTGTCTGGATGGGGTCAACTTCAACAATACTTAAGAAGCTTGACACCGTCCAGTACATTTGATTGGCACTACATCCACAAGCATCCACTCCCTCTACCATTGAAGTTGAGTAGCAGCAGTATGTACTCTCTACAAGATACATTGCAGAAATTCACCAAAGATCCTCAAACATCACCTTGCAAACCCACAACCACTTCCATGTAGAAAGATAAGGATATATGGGAACACCACCACTTAAAAGATCCCCTCCAAGCCACTCACCAACCTGACTTGGAAATATATTACCATTGCTTCACTGTCTCTGGGTTAAAGTCTTGGAATTCCCTCCCCAATGGCATTGTGGGTCTACCTACAGCACATGGACTGCAGCAGTTCAAGAAGGCAGCTCACCACCACCTTCTCAAGGGCAACTAGGGACAGGCAATAAATGCTGACCAGCCAGCGATGCCCACATCCCAAAAAATGAATTTTAAAAAAGTATTCTTAAGTCACCAGAGTCTTTTGGCTGCTGATTTCCATCCACAGCCTAAAGGCCTTGACTTCAAGTTCAACCTGTTGTTGCATTCTTGAGAGCTCACATGCACAATTTTTAAGAATAGGTCTGCTTTTGGAGTTCTATCAAACCATGTAAGTGGCCAGGTAAGAGGAGAAACATAGACACCTTCATCCCATCAGGCACTACACCCTCAGAACACACTGAAGTGGTAGCAAACTGCATACTGAGTGAATCTGAACTTCAGGCTAAGAGAGGTCACAATAATTATCAAACAAATAAAAAGAAAAGAGACTGAAATAACTTTTAACTATATTAAATATCACATGGACTTCTTCTATAGAGGCAAATACAAAACATCAATTGTGAGTAAAAGACAGAATATGACTGAAGTCGTGCACTGTTGCAAAACTATTCACTAATATAAAATTTGCTTAATTTAACTCAGCTGTTACTTTTGTCTGTGATCTCACATATTTCAAATCAGCTTGCAACTAGAAACAAAAAGCGTACACTATTGGGGTGGCACGGTGGCTCAGTGTTTAGCACTGCTGCCTCACAGTACCAGGGACCTGGGTTCAATTCCACCCTCAGGCAACTGTCTGTGTGGAGTTTGCACGTTCTCCTCATGTCTGCGTGGGTTTCCTCCAGGTGCTCCAGTTTCCTCCCACAGTCTAAAGATGTGCAGGTTAGGTGGACCAGCTGTGCTAAATTGCCCCTAGTGTTCAGGGACATGTGGGTTATAGGGGGATGGGTCTGGGTGGGATGCACCAAGGTGTGTGTGTGGACTTGTTGGGCTGAAGGGCCTGGTTCCACACTGTAGGGGTTCTATGATACTATTGCACAATGCCAAAACAATGAAGTAGCCCAGCAGCTATTAGACAGCTCACCAGTGACAAAGGGAAATCATTGCCTGTAGAAATTATAATTTAGACTTAAACTGAGATTTTAAAGGAGAGGCAGAACTTTTCCAGATCATAACAGATTAGTTCATAGGAAAAGTCTAGAATCATTAATTAAGGAAGAAATGACCGAACATCTGAGTAGAAACATTGTTTTCTAGAAAAACACAGTCAACATACATTTCAAATTGGAAGTTTGACGAATCTGACTGATGAAGTACTTGGTACAGGTAAAAAACAAAAGAACTGCAGTTGCTGTAAATCAGAAACAAAAATAGAAGTTGTTTGAAAAGCTCAGCAGGCCTGACAGCATCTATGAAAAGAAATCAGAGTTAACGCTTCTGAGGAAGGGTCACTCGGCCCGAAACATTAACTCTGACCTCACTTCACAGATGCTACCAGACTGCTGAACTTTCCTAACAATTTCTGTTTTTGTACTTTGTACAGATGGCAAATATGGAGGATAAAGACAAACATAGTGGATGTAATCCACACTTGGACCTTTTACTATATTAGAAGCACTTGTTGTTACATGGACTTCCACAAAGACTGTGAGAAGGAATTACATCTAACAGAATATTGGAGAAAATTAATTGTAATTATTTAAGAAAGTGGAAAATTGGATTAAAAACTGGCTAATAAGAAGAAAATAGACTGGAATTAATGGTAAGTCTTTCCACGTGTTTGAATGTGTAGGTTATCCCACAGGATTCTGTTCTGTTCACTGTGTACATTCTTGATTTGATATCAGACCAAAGGCAATGGCATCCAATCTTACAGACAGTATTGTACTGAAATAGATGGTAAAGTAACTAGTTCTGAAGAACAAATGAAGCTGCAAAGGAAAATTGATAAGATGTTGAAAGCTAATAAAGAACAAATGGAATTCAATGTTGGTGAATATAAGGTGGTATATTTGGGTAAAGAAAATAAAAATAATAATTTTACTCTGAATAGAGGATTATTCAATAAAGTAGAGGAAAACAGGATTTGAAGGCTCTGCTTCATAAAACCATATAGCCAGTACCTCAAATAGATAAGATCACGTAAAAAAAGCCAGAATGTTGTTTTATATCAAAAAGTCTAGAATAGCAAAGTTGAGATATAATTTTGAATCTACAGCGAATTTTTGTTAAGACCATTCTTAGAGCCATATGTGCAGTTTTGTGCTCTACTCTAAAAGGAAAGATGTTGAAACAATAGTGAGAGCACATTAGAGATTCACTAGGATGGTCCAAAATATCAGAATGTAAGGAAAGGTTAGGGAAAACAGGACTGTTTTTATCAGAATAAAGGATTATGAGGTGATTTGAAAGATCCATTTCAAATTAAGCAACTGAGTAAGGGGATTGTTTAATGCAAATCTTTGCTCTAAGATAAGAGGCCATTGATACAATTTCAAACAAGTGAAGAGAAGACTCAATCGAGTGCATGTGTGTTAATACAATTTTACCAGAATTACACAGCTCTTTCTTTACGCTTTTCCTTGCTTTGTGGGTGTTCTGTAATGATGCTGAAAAGAACAACCAAGGAGGCTTCAAGCAAATCCACATCCACAACCTGCTCTGAAGTGTCTGCTGACATTTCAACAGAGGGGCCAAAATCCGTAAAATTCCAAATTGTTCAACAACATTCATAACAAAACAACTCAGTACATTCTAAAAAAAAAAGTCAATTTCCCCAACTCCCCATGTTAATCAACTCTTAAAAAAATTCCAGGATCTAGATCCAGATCCATACCTTCATCAAAAACTAATGAGTTCTTTCTTGAGCCATACCCACTTATGTAATAGGTTTTGTGGATATCTGGGGTTAGATTAAAAACAGTGAAATCGTGTACGTTCTTGACTATCACTCAGCATGTAAAGATACCTGTATTCAGATCTGGTTCATAAACAGGAACACTTCAATATCAATAAAACTCCATGCTGAAAGAATGTCCTAAACTAAATTAGTCCCACTGCCAGCATTTGGGCCATATCCCCTTAAACTCTTCCTATTCATGTACACATCCAGAGGCCTTTGAAATATTCTAATTGTACCCTCCTCCACCACTCCCTCTGGCTGCGCATTCCATACACGCACCACCCTCTGCATGAAAATGTTGTCCTTTGGGTCCCTTTTAAATCTTTTCCCTCTCACCTTAAACCTATGCTGTCTAGTTTTGGACTCCCCTACCCTGGGAAAATGGCCTGGCTATTCACGTCATCCATGCCCCTCATCATTTTATAAACTTCTGTAAGGTCACTCCTCAGCCTCCGACACCCTAGGGAAAGTAGTCCCAGCCTATTCGGCCTCTTCCAATAGCTCAAACCCTCCAAACCCAGCAACATCCTTGTAAATCTTTTCTGCACCCTTTCAAGTTTAACAACATTTTTTCTATAGCAGGGATTAGAACTGAATGTGGTATTCCAAAAGAGACCTAACCAATTTTGTGTACAGCCGCAACATGACCTCCCACTTACTCTCATGTAATCTATGCCAACTATCTTTAGCTGCTTCATCAATTATCTTATCTTTACCATAAGGTTTGAATTGGAGATATTCACGGATGATTGCACAATGTTCAGCACCACTGTGACTCCTGACATACTGAAACACTCCACTTCCGAATGCACCAAGACCTGGACAGTACCAGGCTGAGCAGGCAAGTGAAAACATTTGTGCCACGTTAGTGTCAGACAATGGCCATCTCCATCAAAAGAGAATCTAACCATCACCCTCTGACATTCGATGGAATTACTATCACTGAATTCTTCACTATCATCATCGTGGGGCATACTATTCACTAGAAACTGAACTTGACCAGCCGTTAATACTGAGGTGATAAGAGTAGGTCAGAGGCTAGGAATCCTATACCGAGTAACTCACCTTCTGACTCCTCGAAGTATGCCCGCCATCTACAAGGCACAATTCGGGAATGTGATGGAATACTCCCCACTTGCCTCAATGAGTGCAGCCCCAACAACACTCAAGAGGCTTGACACTATTCAGGACAAAGCAGCCTAGCGTGAATGGCACCATTTCCATGAACATTCAGTCACTCTACCACCGATGCTCAGTAGCAGCAGTGTGTATTACCTGTAAGTTGCACTGTAGAAATTCACCAAGGCTCTGTGGACAGCATCTTTCAAATGCATGACCACTACCATCTAGAAATACAGGAACATTAGATAGATAGGAGCACCATTCATTGCAAGTTCCCCTCCAAGCCACTCACCATCCCGACCTGGAAAAATATAAGTTTTCTCAGCATTGCTCGGTCAAAATTCTGGAACACTGCCCCTAACAGTATTGTGGGTCTTCCTAGAGAAAGTGGACTGCAGCAACTCAAGATGGCAGCTCACCATCATTTTCTCAAGAGTAACTAGGGATGGGCAATAAATGCTGGACCGACTGGCGACACCCACATCCTGTGAATAATTTTTTTTTAAAATATGTTACTGGGCAACACCTTAATCAATGGAAATACAATGAGCTTAATTTAATTTTTTGGTTCTTCACATTTCATTCGAACAAATCCCCATTATCCCATTTGTGGAAATTACATTTTTATTAATGATTACAAGCACTTGGAGATAGGTAATGTCATGGGGGAGTTGTACTCTGTACTTTCACCTTATGTACCTGGAGCTTTCAGTTCAACCAACATTTTGCTTACTTTCAACAAAAGTATTCAACAAAGGACCACTGTATAATCCTTGCCAACTTGAATGATTGAAATCAAGTCTTCCCGCTTAAACTAACAAAGATTTTCATTATTATTTTTTGAATTTATGTTTGTACTTCTGCTTAATGCAATAGTTATATACAGAATCTGCTCAAAGATAACAAGCAATCAGTGGAAATAAATATTGGTAAAAAGAACTTAGAGATAAGAGAATCACTCATATATTCATCAAGATTTGCAAATTTAAGTGTAGAATAATATTTTAAATTTAGATTTGGATTGCACAAAGATGAAAGACTCAAAATCCAAATATGAAGTTCAAATTTTCAAAAAGTAGTCTTAGCTACCTGCTTATGGTCAATGAAATAAATCCCTTGTACATATGCCTGGAGTGACAGGTTCTTTGTGATGCGCTGCAACAAAGAATTAAGCCTAATTTGACAATCCCATTATTGAATGAAGTAATGACTTAGAAAGAGCTAATGCTGAATTTTCTTTTAACTTCACTCAATTCGATGATGTCTCTCAGTCTTTAGACAAAGACTCAGGTAGTCTTGCACAAGGTCCTTATACATTCAGAAGTGATTTAAGTAAAAGGAAAATACTGCAGATGCTGGAAATCTGAAACAAATGCAGAAGACGTTGGGGAAACCCAGCAGGTCTGGCAGCATCTATGGAGCTACAGCTTGGTATATAAGGCAAGTACCTCTTTTTGTTAAGACTCTTCAGTGGTTTTTCCTCTACCAATTATAAAGGGAGAAGCTTTTTAACTCAGTACAGAAAGCAGGATTGGTGGCAGTATTCTACCTGTATTGGATCCCAATAGAATGATAAAGGTAGAACTCCTACATTTTCCTCCATATCTCACATTATCCTTCTTGGATATATACTGTCATTCCTTCATCACCATAAGCACAACGATTGTCATGATTTAAGAAGATGATGTACCACCAAATTTCAAGAAATACCGGGTTGAATATTAAATGCAGTGTGGACCATCGCATTAATTATGAGAGCCAGACAACAACAGATACAAAACTATCACATAAATACATATCTTTTCTCCATTTTATTTACTATTTGATATCTCCTTCAGCTCTCATGCTATTTGTTGACTAGAAGGGTACTTATGGAAGTAGCCTCCACTTTTAGTCACACTCTCCCTCTCTAATCAGAACCTAGATTGTGATAAGGAATGCAAACCTTATATAGTGTCATGGATATGAGTCTTAAACACATTATTCTGTGTTGGAGTTGTACCACCAAAAAAACCTAAGAATGATCTGAATTGTGCATAATCAAAATACTTCAACACAGTACTTTGAATCAGGGACTTCTTGTCAGTAAGCAATGTTCCATCATGCATTAATGCAGAATAAAGGTGACCTCGATTAAACTCTACAGGAACCAGTCTGCAGCATGGGAAAAAATATTATAAAGCATTTGCAATATTGTTAACATTCAGCCTCATGATGAGGAAACAGAAAGAATGATTTTTCTCATTCTAATTCTCATGTAGTCTTTCTTACCATCTGTGGCCATTTCATCATGTGTTAAGTTCTGTTTCCATGGAGCCAGTCCAATCCACCAGTCTTTATCTGCTGCAAGGTGCTTCTTGATAAACTCTTGAGTTTCTTCATTCAGGATGAAAGCAATATGTCCCCCACCCCGCTCACACCATTTCTGAGCATCCTGAAAACTACGCTCCAGCTGAACAATCTCATAGCAGCTCCTTTCGAAGGCCAGTTGATGCTCTAAGCAAGGACCTGAATCTGCTGGAGGACTTAAAGTAATTGTAAAAATTAAAAAGGAGAGAAATTTCAAATGCAGCCACATTTTTGACTAATCCTCTATCATATTAAGTGTTGAAATGTCTTCGAGTTGAGGCGGACTCTGAACTGACTCCAAGCTGCGCACTATTCCTGTAAAAATCTGCATTGCACATAAACTGACGAAAATTGATTTGTCAGGTTTGTTTTGAACATATTAAAGAATTATCAGCTCCATAAGGGCGAAAAGACGTTGAAATACACAGTCCTATTAAAAAACATTTAAAGCTTTGTCTAAATTTGCCATATTTGGCTGAGGCAACGCATCAAAGGTATCAGTTTGCCTCCATGCTTAGTGAAAGTCAAAGATAACACTCATATATATCATTCCTTCTTTACTAGGACATGTGCAGGGTTGAGATAATAGTCCCAAAATTAAAAAAGACAAATTATCACAGGCAGGCTTGTTTACACAATAAACAAGGACATAGCTACAATAGTCACTGTCAAAGGACAAGATATAATCTTTATTGTAAACGGAGTTACTGACCTCATTTTGTCACTGGTTCCAGAAACTAGCACCAAACAATTGAATAGAATAGAATAGAATATATTTTATTGTCACTTGTACTCCAGTGCAGAAGTACAGGAGTACAGTGAAAAGTTTTTACAATGGCTGCCTTTTAATGGCACCATCTTAGGTACAAGTACCTAGGTACAAATCTTACAGAGTAAAAAATAATGTTGTTATACAAAAAAGGATTAAAAAGTAAGGATTTACATTACAGTCTGGTAAAAGTACCATACAGCAGCAGTTCAGCACGTGGCGTCAGGCCCAATTCCAACAACTGTCCTGTATCACATCAGCTTTCAGTCTGCTACTCACCAGCACTCAGCAGCAACAAGGTAAGTTGTGCTTTACCAGGTGCTTCGCCTTGTTTCCATTTTGGCTCTCCCCTTGCCACCATGCTCTAACACAACGTTTCTATCACTAAAGTTTTAGCAAGGATTTGTAGTTCAGGTTGTGGGTGAGGTTGTTGACTTGCTCACTGAGCTGGCTTGTTTTCGTTCAGACGTTTTGTCACCATGCTAGGTAACATTATCAGTGAGACCTCCGATGAAGCGGTGTTGTTCTACTCCGCTTGGAATTTATACTGTCTGGTCTGATATGATGAGTATACAATCCATATACAAACCCATACAGAACAAAACTGGAAATGACACTACTCACCATAACAGACCAGACAGTATAAATTCCAAGCAGAGTAGAACAACATCGCTCCATTAGAGGTCTCTCTGATGCTGTTACATAGCATGGTGTTGAAACGTCTGAACAAAAACAAGCCAGCTCGGCGAGCAAGTCAACAACCTCATTTCTATCACTAATCCCCTCAGCAGACAATTCCCCAGCCCTGTCTAACAGCATTGTAACCTGGTGGAATCTATTCAGGGGAGAAAATCATGAGAAGTTAGAAGATTTCCTAAGACTCCACATTAATGGCTATTATTTCTTCATGTGCAGTTTCATCGAAGCCAATCTGCCCATCCTTGTTCCTGCATTCAAATATGTTCCCAACTTAATAATCGTAACATGGTTTTGAAAGGTTAATGGTCAACTACTACATCCGGGATTCATGGAGACTAGTGCTTGAAGTTCTTATTGATAATACATGAATCTTTTAATTTAATGTTTGATTTGTACAAGGAATAGGGTTAGTTAATAAAATTAAATCAATGTGACTGATTGAGAAGTTTTGGTTTGCCTAAACAAAAATTTATGTATTAATGCCTTTCACAAAAATGTGATGGCTCATCGTGCTTTGCAGGCAATGAAAGATGTTTGAAAGTCCCATAAACAACAAATGTGATAATAGTCAAATAAATTGTTTTTGTGGTGTTGACTGAGGGATAAATATCACTCCTGACATCATGGATAACTCCCCTAGTCTTCCCAAATCATACCACTGTTGTTCTACGTCCACTGCAGGGGTAAGTGCAATCTGCTTTTAAGGCATCTTTCAAAGACAGTATCTCTGGCAGTGCAGTATTCCCTTAGAACTGAAGTGGACTGTCAGCCTCAAAAGTTTGGGCTCTGATCTTTGTGTGGTACGTGAACCTACAAACTTCTGGTTCAATGGTGAGAGTGCTACCAACTGAGCCAAAGCTCATCATTGCTGATCAATTTTACATAAAATTTCAATTTTACATAGAGCTAAAGAATCATTCATGCGTCATCATTGTCATTTTTGATAAGATCAGGAGCTAATTGTAGCATAAACTTATTTGACAGTGCTACAAAGTGGCAACGTAGAAAATGAAAATGTATTTACACTAATAATTTTACATGGATTTAATATAGCAAATCACTGAAGGCCACAAAGGTCACTATGAGCCCATTTTCATGCCATGTTGCTAATTCTAACTTAGATTTAGATGTCGGTTTTAACGTCACGTGTACTCAAGTATAGGGTACAAGAGTGAAAAATGTACAGTGAGAGACAGTAAAAGCTGCAAATGCTGGAGTCAGAGATAATACAGCGTGGAGCTGCAGGAACACAGCAGGCCAGGTAGCATCAAAGGAGCCGCAAAGTTGACGTTTTGGGTCAGGACGCTTGCCACAATGTTACCACACACGGCGCCATCTTAGATACAAATGTACCTAGGTACAAAATCTTAGTAACAGAAGTAGGAAAACAAAGAAATAAGTTAAAAAGTTCAGCACTACAGTCTTCTTAGTATAAAAGTAGAAAAATAAAGAAATAAAGTTAAAAGCTCAAACATTACAGTTCTTTCTTAAGCCATGGGCCTATAATCGCTCCAAACTGGACTTTCCCCAAGAGGGCTTACTCTCCCCTATGCTGGGCTAAAACTGGCCCATGCTTGCCAACTGCATTTGCTGCCAACTGTCTCTGCTGACCTCCATCAGGCAAGCCAGGCTTCGCTGCTGCTTGCAAGCCTTCGGCCCTGACTGCCACTGCTGCCATCCGGGCTTGTGCTGGGCCCCAACTGCTGCCACATTCTGTTGCTGTGTTAGCCCACGATGCTGCTGACTATCAGAGTTCTGTCTGGGCACACCAGCCACCTTATGGCTGACCGACACAATCTCCCAGCTGCTGCCTGCACGACTGAGCTGTCTCTGGAAGGTAAGTAGAGAAAGAAAAAAATCTAAAGAACTAAAAGAAAGAAAGAAAAAAAAGCGAGAAAAGAAGAAGAAAGATAAGCAGTTGAAGCAGATTAGTTCCAGTCAGGAGCCTTTCTCCGCCACCATCTAGCTTATTGACTTAACTGGCAACAAAAAATTGTGACCTCAAAACTCCTGGTACTGGCAAAGGTATTTCTCTGTTTCTTCTAGGTGGAAATTAAGGGGAAAAACTAAATCCTGCTAGAATTCCATCTCGGCTAGAGCGAGTTATTAAAATCCAGTCAAATTCTTCGGTTAGTCTAAGCTATTTCTCCCTGTATGCCCTAAAAGGCCTTACCTCTGTCAAAATCGCAGGTGGCTCCTTTTCAAGTCCTCAGAAGAGCCAAAGCCTTCATTTAACAAAAACATGCTTGTCTTGAGGAAATGCCTTATTTCTCCAGCAGAAAGTTGCAAAATAATCTCTTTTATCCAAAACATTGAGCCTCAAACAATGCAATATGAAATCAAACACTGCTGCCATTCCTCACCTTGGTACTGGAATCTCAGCACTGAATGGGGCAGGCACACTGAGATTGCCCAGCAATCACTCCTCCTGTAGATTACCAGGATTGCTGAGGTGCTACCGGAGGGAAGTGGCAATAGGTCCCTGGACTGTAAATCTGCTGTTACCTCTCAGCATGACAATATTTGTGATCTCACCACTACTACTCTTCCATGACCAATGTTAATGAACAAGAGCATTCTCCAGAGATAAGAGAGCTGATGATGCTCATTGAAGTAAATATATAAGGAGTGGTTCTCACCAGTAATGGGAGTTGGTTAGGAATAGGAGAGAGCAGACTGGAGGTTGTATTGAACTTTAAAATACAAATTATCAATTGTAGAAGACAAATGAATTCCTGCATGTTGCTCTGGTATATGGATAACTAGCAATAAAACAAGGCAGTGCCCTGCTGTTACCTACCAGCCAGACTAACCCGTGTTAAGGAGATGTATTCCAAAGCCAGATCCCAAGGCCCAAAACTGCTCAAGTGCCTCCTTGAACGCCATCTGCAGTTTCTCCCAGGGAAAGTCATCAGCCTTCTACCAACTATGCTGCAGCTACTGAGGCAGTATTGTGTAGAAATACGGCAAAATGAACCTGCATGATTGGAACAAATTAATGCACAAAGGTGAACAATTCATTTTTGTTTGTATCAGTGTATTATTTTGTGGTAAAGATGTATTAGGAAGGTGATAAATGATGGATTTTATAGCAGGATATCAGCCGAGGTTGGAGGGGGCGGTGGAGGTGGGGGTCACACGATCCCCAGGGATGGTGTTGGAGGATTCTGTACCTAACTTCTCACTGAAACTTAAACAATGCCTGTGTTATCCCATCTTTATAGAATTACATATCTTGAGCAGATGCTTTCTGTGACTGACCTTAAGGATAAAGTGATTTATATTTCTGGGCAATTTGGAAAAATAAATCATGGGGGAAAATAATATCATCGAATATAAGCATCTGTATGAACTAGGAAATATAATTAGGCATAAGCCCAACATTTGCTGATAGAAAAGTAATTGCTTTTCTAAAAAGAAAACAACAAAGGCTTTATTTTTAGTTAATGGTAATTAAAATTCAAGTAGGAAAGGGTTCCTTTTCCTTGGCTGAAAATGAGTGTCATGATTGTTGGATTGCTATCCATTCTGTAGTGTTACAGATGTCTGCAAAATGCAGATAAAAGATAGTGTTCAAGCAGTTAGTCGCTCAACAATGTTCCAATTATCAGGTAGGTTATAATCAGTAAGGTTCAGTAATCATCCTGTTTGTAGCCTGCTTGAATTATACAAACTGTGAGAATTAGATATTAATTTGTCAAAGGCAACATAATGATTACAAAACAGGCAGTAATTTCATTCACAGGATCTGTCACCTGGACATTTTAAACATGCTTTTCCCAAACAGGATTAGTACAACATGTGAAACAAAGGTCAAATGCTTTAGCAGGAAAATAACTAATAGCAACTATTTTGCTTTTTTTTTGCTGCTGGACCTGGAACAAGAGAGTTCGCCCGAGAGCAAATCATCTTGTGTTCTCACATGTTCTGTAACATGGAGCACATACTATAAATAAATACAGTATAGAGGTTAATTTTAAACTAAGATCCCAATGGCAAGTTGATGACAACAGATCTGCCACCTGTTTTCCATTGAAAGTAGAGAGTAAAGAGTAAATAGCAGCTTGCACCAGTTTTATGTCTTATCATTTAAACTCTGCATCTCTATCATGGGCATTAAAACAATGTGCCCAGCAGTGTTGGGGAGGAGAGTTCTCCGGTTGTCCTGACCATCATCTATTAACCTCAATAAATCTGGTTACATTTAGTTATTTATCTCCTTGGAGGAACCTTGCTGTTTGTAAATTAGTCATTGTGTTCCCCCATATTGCCAGATTGACTTCACTTCAAAATTTTTCATTGGCTGGGGAAAGCCTTGAGACAAAAGCATTGGATCAGCAAAGTGATACATCACCCATACTCTAACAGAACTATATATTTGAATTCCTACATATTTGTTAACCAGCATTTTGACAGCAAACTTTGGAACTAGATATAAGATACACAGCCACACTGCTCCTTGTTTACACTTCCTTTTCCAAACACAGGCAGTTACATGTAAGACTAATTAAAAAAGCAGAATACTGCAAATGCTGGGAATCTGAAATAAAAACAAAAATTTCTGGAAAACTCCAGTAGACTAGGTAATAACTGTACAGAGAAACAGCATTAAAAATTCCCTCACTTAAGTCTTCCCCTTCCATTGTCTTAAAAACTCTTAAGTTTCTGATTCTCTTCAGGTTTGTTGAAAGGTCAATGATCTGAAACACCTTTGTCTCTCCATAGATGCTACCTGACCTGCTAAGATTTTCCAGCTAAGTTTTCATTAATTATTACATTTAAGGGCGCACTGATTTGTGTCATATTTGCTTAAGTGACCTTTGAGAAAGGAAAGACATATTTGTTTATTCATTAAATACTTCCTCTGCAATTACACTGTCTGTTATCTTGTGTTATAACGCTTTGAGTTTTGAGTTTCCCTCATAATCCTCTGTTACTGCAATGATTTAGGTTCGTTTTTTGAACAGGACACAGCCACACTCCTCAGTAATTGCACAAGTTTAAAATTCAAATGTGCTTGTTTCAGAGGCATTTACTTTAAGATTAACAGTTCACTGAATTCAATGAAATATTTTAGTCAGACTAGAAAGAGGATAATGAATTAAACATGTTAGTTGGAACCTCTTATGAAGTGGCCTTTTAACAATTTAACAATTCCAATGAAATACAAAATCAGAATTAGATAACAATGTAATTTTACATGCAACAGCAATTCCATTTAAATAGTGTCCTATGAAATAGCAAGCCACCCTAGGATTCTTTCAAAGGAGGATAATAAAACTTTGAAAATTACCCTGAGCAGAAAGATATATCAGGACAAGTTTGGTCAAAGTGCCAAGGTCGAAAAATGGACAAGTGAAAGTGTTAGGTACAATACTTGACATACTTTGATGTAAAGTATGAACTAGATATTGTTATCTGTTGCATAACATGCTTTATCATTATTGGCTTTTCAATCTTTTCTTTTCCTTTAATTCTATATTGACTTAAAATCTGCTGACTCGACATGTCACGAGTTATTTAGCTCATTTATTCCAGCCAGTAATATTTAACATAATAACTTCTAACAATATTTGACAGTATTTAATGGAAATAATATTGAATAATCTACAAATCTTTAAAATATATAGGTGCAAAATTATTCAATTTCAACCCATCTGTCAAATAATATCAGAGTTTTTGTTAATCAGCATTAATTCTGGGTCAGCAAAAATGTTGTAACTTTTACAATTCTTTATCAATATATATGGATAATGCAACATGAAAAATAACAATTGTATTTTGATCACCTGAATGTGCTAACTCAATTATATCACTTAGTGTTATTTAATTCTTTTTGATGGCATATATTCACTCATGTCAGTCCAAATTATGAAGTTCTTCAAGTTATATTTTTTGTAGTAATTGGTACAACTTGGCCATGTCAGACGGCAATTAGAGTCAATTGTGGGTCTGGAGTCACATGTAGGCCAGACCAGGTGAGGGTGGCAGATTTCCTTCCCTGAAGGACATTCGTGAACTAGATGGGTTTTTCCAACAATCAGCAATGATTTCATGGTGATCAGTAGATTTTTAATTCCAGACTTTTTTTTAATTATTGAATTCAAATTCCACCATCTGCCGTGGGGGTATTCAAACCTGGGCCCCCAGAACATTAGCTGGGTTTCTGGATTAATAGTCTAGCAATAATACCACTAGGCCATTGCCTACCCTGTGATATTTTTCATGTGATTCAAGCTCCACACAGTTACTCTTGGACAAAGAGGTAGAGGTTATCTCTGACATTGGCCAATTGGTGCTGCACCTGTTATCCACACTCCTTAGAGGGTCCAATAAATAGAATTTGGTTCTCCACTACTGGGAGGCTGTGTGACTGTGGGGTAGTTGGCATGCAATTCTCAAGCTGCAGGAATTTGCAGATAAACAGCCGTAACATAAACAACACAAAAATTGGCAGTTAATGATTCAGGGCTTTACTTCTCATTTGCTTCAGTCATCTGTAAAACCTCAAAGTATTCTGTACAGTAAATGTATCCAATGAGTTATTTTCTATTTAGGCTACTTGCACAATTCATACATTTTACATGATTTTTATACAACAGATTAAATGTTAATCCATACAATTCACACTATCTGAACAAAGTCATAAAATAAAAACAAAGTCAGCTCAAATCATTTGGCTGAGGCAGTATCACGACATCACCAGGAGAAGATTAGATATGTTTTAGGTATTCCTCAGTTAGCATGGCATGTGCACATGCCCTATCAGATTGAAGTTGCAGATCCCTCTACAGTACCTGCAGTATAATAAGACACTATACATAGTGAACTGTGAACAATGTCATTGTGTAAATGCAGCTCTGAATTAACCCAGATAGTTCCCCTTATGTTTCAGTATTCCAATTGTACTTTCAACACATTTATGTTCCTGGTTATATTATTACATTCCACTTCATTTGGTGAGTTGGGCACATGCTATGAGGCATGACTTTGAATCGCTTCATTTTCGTCACAGAAATGCCATCATCACAGATGTTTTCAGCACCTTTTGTATTAATTTGGACACTGCACGGAGCAGATCCAATGTAATTACTGGTAAGAGCTTAGTCAATTGCATCTGGAGATCAAATTACATTCATGTAGTATAGAAAAATGGCACTAAGTTTATAATTTAACAAATCTACTTCCTCTCGCCCATTCCTTTATGATCCACTTTCCATCACCTTTTCCAGTTTATTTCGTGCTTTCATCAAAACTTTATTGTATTGTTTCCTGTAAATGCTAATTTCTCTTGGTGTACTCTCCACTTTGCAGCTTTCTTTGAACTTTTCATATTGTTGCAGCCTCACCATTCAAACTCCACCTCATCTGACTGCTTCCCAAAGGTGAATTCAGACATAATTGTTCTATAAACATCTTTTCTATTTGAATTTGTTGACAAGGTGACAGAGGCAGTGGATTAGGGTAGTGCTGTAGATGTCGTATATTTGGACATTCAGAAAGCATTTCATACAGTGCCACATGATCAACTGGTTAGAAATTTATGAATGTTTGGGATTGATGGGTCCTTGGCTGCATGGATTATGATGGCTAAAAAAAACGAAAAAGAGACAAAAAAAAAGGAAACAGCAGGTAGTTATAGATGGGAATTTCTCAGACTGGAGACATGTTGAAAGTGGTGTTCCCCAGGGTTTGGTGTTGGGACTCTTCTTTTTTCTGATTTATATATAATGATTTGGAGATGGGTGTTGAGGGCAAAATCTCTAAATTTGCAGATGATACTGGGCTAGGAAGAATAGTGAATTGTGAGGATGATGCTGAGTGACTTCAGTAAGACATTGACAAGTAGGCTAAATGGACAGACACCTGGCAGATGAATTTCAGTGCGGATAATTGTGAGGTAATGCATTTTGGTAGAAGAAACATGGGGAGATAATACAGGCTCAATGGTGCAATTTGGAGAGGAGGACAGGAGCAGAGGAACTTCGGGGCTCATGTGCATGCTTCTCTGAATGTGGTCAGGCAAGTTGAAACAGTTGTGTAGGAGGTTTATACGATCCCTGGGTTTATAAATAGAGACACAGAGTATAAAAGCAAGGAAGTGATTATTGGTCAGACCATATTTTGAGTGTTGTGTTAGCTGTGGGCTCCTATTTAAGGAAGAATGTTATAGCCCTGGAGACAGTTCAAAGGAGATTTACTATTATGATAACAGGGATGAGGGATTTTTGATACAAGGAGAGATGAAAGAAAATGGCCTTATTTTCCTTGGAGCAGAGGAGATTAAGAGGTGACGTTATTGATGAGATCAAATTATGAACAATTTCGACAGGGTAAAGAAAGACATTCTGTTTCCATTAGTTGGCATGTCAGTAATTGGGGGTCACAATTTCAAGACTGACAGCAAGAAAGCTAGAAGTGAGAAGAGGAGAAACTTCTCTACGCAGATGGTTGTTCAGATTTGGAATGCACTGCTTTGTGAACGTGGTGGAAGCAGATTCCATAGGAGGTTTCAAAAGGGAGCTGGATATATATTTGGAAGTGATTAATTTAAAGGACAGAGTACTAGAGAATGGGACTAGTTGGGTAGCACTTTTGGGAGCCAGTACAGAGACAATGGGTTGAATGGCCTTCTTTTGTACCATAAAATTCGAAGATTCTATTGGAGCTGTTGATTCCCTACTAAAGCCCTTATCAACAGTTGTTCTATATTTTACAATTCAGTGCTTTAATTTCACAAATAACTCTAATCTTTGTCCTTTAAAAATGGGACTAAATTCAAATTTGCAATGTACCAATTGACCTCAAATCTATTCCACAACTCCGTGATGCAAGACCATTTTTGATTTTTAATCTAACTCAACGGGTTGTACTTTGATCACTGAACCCATCCTTGATTAAGAAACTCTATCAGACAATTCTCTTCACTGTTGCACTCTGCAGGTTCCAATTTCCACTGAGATTTAATTCTAGAAACCCACAGAAAAGGTAGTCAGAGCAACTTGTGAGGGCCAGAGGTTTCTTGCTTTTACATTCTGTCCCATTAGAGTTTTATTTTACTTGAAAAAAATCAGTTGTAATCAGCTCCTCCAGAGTCCGTACACTGTTTTTTTGCTTGTAACTCCTCTTCAGGAATGAATATACCATGCAGATCAAGATGCAAATCAGCACTAACTGAAGCATGACCAAGTTCTTTGAAAGTCTTTGCATCAAGAATAAGTAAAAATGAAGATTTCTTGGCATCAGTAGAAATGATGGAACAAAATACGACACCTGAAAAATGTATTTCAAATGTACGATTTAGCTTTCTGCACATTTAATGATATTTAAAATAAAACTGTCAAATTTTATGTTAGTGTGAAATGGGTTCAGTTGACGCTAAATCTGTGCGGTGCATAAATAAAACAGGAAGATTGAGATCTGACAGCATCAGTGAAGAGAGAAAGAGAGTAATTGGGTGGAATTCAATGGTCGTAGCAGGAAGCCCATCCACCAACTGCAGAACGGGTGAAAACTTGGCCATGGCCATGCCTGGCAGTCCAGTTGGGAAGAGCAAGCCTTAACAGGCTGCCACCTGAATTCTCAGGGCCTACAGGGGGAATTTCCCATTAGACCTCCTGGTGTGGAATCGATGTCCCATTTCCGAGGGCTGCCAGTTAAACAGAGACAAGAGGGTGGGAATACAGTATACGCTGGCAGTAGGCCAGATGACGTTCCTGGCTCCAACAGAATATGTTCATAAGCTTCAAAATGTACCTTCTGAGAACGGTCTCCAGCAGTTCCTTCAAGAATCATTGGTTAGACCTCTAAATGCCTGAGTAACTGGAATTGTTGTGCCTTCTGCATGGTTCCTCCATTTCCCTATGAGCATTGTATCTATGCTCCCACATTAGCTTTGAAGCACCTTTGCACAGTTGAACAAATTCCTGCCTCTTTCAAAGACTTGCCTAAAAGTTGGTGCAGGAAAGCATGTTGTTCCCAGCATATTTTCATCTACTGGTTTTTCAAGTGAGGACTAAGACAATTAAACTACCCACTTTAGCTTTAGCCATTTCCCAGTGACATTTTGAATGTCCCTTCTGTTTCTGTCTTATCTTCAACACTGTCCAAAAATGGACAGTGTCCAACAATTGATACTAAAAATAAAAAAACGCTGGAGATTACAGCAGGTCAGGCAGCATCCACGGGGAGAACGCAAGTTAATGTTTTGAGTCTAGATGACTCTTCATTAGAGCTCTAATGAAGAGTCATCACTCTAATGAAGAGTCATCTAGACTAGAAATGTTAGCTTGCTTTCTCTCCATGGCTGCTGCATGACTGGATGTAATCTTCAGCATTTTGTGTTTTCAGTACAGATTCCAGAATCTGCAGTGATTTGCTCCAACAAAAGATAATTCAGTTTAAAATGTATTATTTGAGAAGTCTGCTCTCTGGCACTTACCTCCCTGGTTTAATTTCAAATCGTGTTCTCATGTATTTACAGTGTATCAACCACATTCTCATTTGAGGTTTTCCTTTTCAAAACGTCTCTAGAAACCTGTTCTAGCACTTGTATTAACTACTATCATTGTTAAGTTGCTTTTGGTTAAGAAACCCTTACCATCATCCTCATCTTTGCCATCTGGAAGTTTGACAAACACTGGTTCTGCTGGCCAGCAATGGTCTTCTCTCCGCTCAAGGCAGCTTCTGGTCTGAATATCACATTTAATTATCTGGAAGACCATTTTAAAAAGTATATATATTATGTATGTTTACATCCATATAGAGAGGGAAATGTAGCCCTAACAACTCAAATTCCATTTCAAATGGATCGAGCATACTGCAAAATGTCAGCAAAATAGAAAAGAAAATCTACTGATAGAGTGCAGTTGGACTTGATAAAGTACATATTAGCATATACCCCTGTCACAATTTGTTGATACCTGATGCAAGGATGTGGAATGAGCATTGCACGTTAAAGGTTTAACTTTGCCCTCCCTGCACTCACCCCAACCCTAAGAAGACGCAGATCCTTAAAATGCAACAGTACCAAGAAAGCAATGTCATTTCTTGCATCTAAAGAACATTTTAGAGAACACGCGTCTGGAGGAGTGTTGCATGGGGAACAGGAGATAGGAGACCAGGTTCATAGCTCTAGCTTAGAGGGGGCAGGGGGTGGCAGTGGCAGCAACAACGGGGCATGCCCGTAACTGAGACCCTGGAACCCATTACAGTGAACCCGGCCAATGTTAAGCAGCATCTGGAGGAGTAGCAGAGGAGGAACAGGGAGAAGAGAGAAGGATGAACTCTATTGCAGTAAAATCTTGCATTATATTCAGCGTTTCAAGATGCAGCATGGTGACACCTTGCGTTTAACATGTGAGACCCTGTATTTTTCCTAAACATGTGACAATAAATCTAAATCTAAAAGATTTCTCCCATTATCAGACAATTTAAGTCATTAAAATGTTTTCTCAGAAAAGATTATAGATTCGTTATATTTATATTTGTGGGGGAGTAACAAGTAACTAGAACTAAATAACTTGCCAGTTTTAAAGACACTGATGCACTAGTTTTTGCTCGCCATGGAGAAAGTGGGCAGGGAATGGCTGCTAAAATAACTCTACAGAGGCCGGTATCCCGTCACTGGGTTACCCTTTACTTACACCTGACCAGTTCTTGATTTTAGTACTGCCTCTTCAGAGTCAGCTATCAGAGTGGCAGTATGTCCAACACTCCCTCTTTTTATCTGTCAACCAGGGCTCCCTGATTGGACCAGTTTAACAGCTCCAGTCAGGGGACTCATATTCTGTGGGGTCCAGCTGGTCGACCTCATTACAATCACTACAGCTGCCAGCCCCTGAAAAATCAGGCACCACTTGAGCTGTCAGTATGAGCATAGGTACAGGGTTCTGTGAGGGTCATGTGGAGAAAAGATGGACATCTGGGACATGGGGAAATGACACTCCAGAAATAATGAAGGTGTCTGCTAGGGCCTCTATTTGAACCTCTATCTTTAAATTTGATCTATAGACAATTTCCATTTCTCACCAGTGTAGTACCAAAACTATAAATCGTGAAATGTCACATTAGTGAGTTAGACACAAAATCTGCTTGGCACTCATCATTCTGGTAGATTTTAGGACCTTGCGAACTAGACCAAAATTCGTTTTACACTCAAGAACAGAAATCATGTGAGTTTTCTTATGGTAAACAGACCCAATGGTTGACAGTGTAATTCAGTGGCAAAAATATTACGCTGCATGGGATTAAGCATTAAAGTATTAAAATTCAGCTATTTATGAAACTTATTATGGGCATCTAATCCAGGTATTTCCTTTCTATGTACTGCCAATGCAAAAGAAGTACTCACGTCACAAGACCTCCAAATAAATGGGCTGAAACCTAAGATTTTTTGCCTGTGACCATTTTGTTGAGTTTCATGGTAGGTTTCTCTTTGTGAGCCCTCGAGAGTTTTCCTGTGCTATTTTATTAAATATTCCTCATTAACTACCTATCCCATCCTTATCCACCCCTCACATCCAACGCTAGCCTGATTCCATCACATGCCATAGCCAGTAGAATTCACCACTTCCAGGATATCCCAGAATAGACAAGCATGATGTCACTGGCTCCACAATGAAATGCTCGTTGTGTATTTGGACAGGCTCTGTTAGTCTGGAGTGGATTGACACAATTCTGACATTTAATGAGACATGGATAATAAAGGGAATTTGTTATCTCGCTTTGCAGACAGATAGCTGGAGGTCCTGATGGAGAGGGTGATGCAGAAGAGAGACGTCTCCTTCCTTCAGGACTGCCAGAGGAAACCACAACACCAAAGCACAGCAGCCTGGGTTAGTGTAATCTTAGTTATCTGGATGAATGCCCAGCAGGATAGAAAGAAGGTCACTGACTTTCTTTGCCCCATCAAGGTAAGTGATGCCAACTTCTCTCCATTACCTTAAACTGACTCTAATATCTCTGCTATTGTACCCACCTCCCAACAAGGTCAATGATTTACCACTCTCACTGGTGCATGCAGCATTGCTCCTCACTCTCACCCACCTAATTCCACAACATACTGCCATCTGTGCTGCTTTACTCAATCCCTTGGGACACCTCAGCATCCTTTCTCCACCTTCTACAACACTAACAGCTGCACCATACACTTTCATCTTCTTTAATAGGTCCCTTTCTCTCACTCCACAAGAAAACAGCTCACAATAATGCAGAAAGAGCTAAGGTGGGTGGTGAGTGCCATTTGGCTCTTTGTCCCTTACAGAGGAGATCCTAACCCTGACTACCTTGAGTAGCCAACTGACTGTGTCCATGACCCTTGACTCAATGTACCAGGACTCAATGACCCCCTGACTGAAGAGCATCTCCCTTTTTGCCTGGTGACCGCAAACCGTCATGTCAAGGTCCCTGGCTTTGGTCCTGCACGAAAGAGCAAGGCAATACAGGAGTATGTAGTTCTATCTAATGGTCAATACCACAAAAAAGCTGAGCAAAGCAAAGCAAGGCAGGGATGCTTTGTGCATATGGTTGGGCGCAAAGTGAGTGAACACTCAGACAGCAAACAAGCAACCTTGAGCTGCAGCCTGCTGCAAACTGTGAGCTGGGTGCCTGACGCTGCAAGTGTAATATTCTACCTTTGTTAGAATTGGTCGCCACTCAACCTTGGATGCGTAAATATATCTGTACTTGCTGCCATTGTAATCATAATTTATTCAAGGTAGTTCTATTCCTCGGGGGAAAAGTAAAATGTCAAATTAATTTACTTTATTTTGACTTTTCATGGTTAAGTTTTTCAAATATGAATCTACATAATATTTATAAATCTTTAAACAGATATATGAACAGCAAAGTATAATTTGTAATGTTATTTAGAAAAGTTTGTGCTTGAGGAAGAGGGTAATAGCTCATTTGTACTCTATAACTGCCTGCTTGGAATTATGTTGGGCCCAGATTTTTACTCCTGAGCTGGTTTCCTGAGTTGCTGTGTCTGCATCAAGAGAAACTTCCTGATTGGAAGGATATTTGTTTAGAAGGGAGGGGAGGGGGTTGAGCAGTGTGACAGATACAGAATGGTTTTAGATGAGAAGCAGCCATAGGGTGGAATTCTGAGGTGGCCTATTTACAAGGTCCACCTGAGTTGATAGGTTTGGTTTAGTGCCTCTAACAGTTATCTCCATCTCAACCCATCCCACCCCCACCCCCTGCCCATCCCATCACAATTCATTTCCCCTGCCCTCAAACTCTCTATGTCAACCCATGACCCACCTGCCCTTATGGTCTCCCTACCCTCCACACCAACTCAGGTTGTTATTGCCAACTCTTGCCAGTCCACCCACCACCATTACCTCTCACATCAACTGTGCCAATTCACACAATATTCACTATGGGCAGACCTCAGCAGCCATATTAGGATGAAATAGCAGGAAGATCTAAAAACCAATTACAACCTTCGCTTTGATTTTAAAAAACCTCCTTTCATGAAAGCTCATTTAACTCTTTTATATTTCTTCATGTGCTTAATCCCTTTATAAAAACAAACAATTCCATCTAACAACCCCACACCAAAGACAGCTAATACCTTAATTACTTCTTTGGGCTGGCAATCAGACTGTGAACTTAGAGAACCTTGCTGAGATAATCATAGGTTGAGAAATGCAAGTCTGGGAGCTACAAGAGCAGATCTTTTGATTTGGATTTTAATTTTTAGATTTTATTGTCATGTGTACTCAAGTATAGAAGTATAGTGAAAAGTCCATAATTTCACCACACATGGCATCATCTTAGGTACCAAAGTACTTGGGTACGAACAAAGCTTAAGTACCATGTAGTAAGAGAAATGACAGTTAAAAAGTTAAGCATTACTTCACAGAAGAGTAGAAAAATAAAGAAATAGGTAAAAGTTTACATTAAAGTCTTTCGTAGTTTAAATTAGGAAAATAAAGGAATAAGTTAAAAGTTCAACAGTCTTTGATGAGTCCCCCGCTTATCATGCTCTGCTGTCTGTTCTCAATGCCACCGCCACAGATATTCTCGCTGCTGCTGAAACTGCCACCTCTCTGATCTCCCCCGGTGCCTCGGGAACATGCCTGGGCAGGATCCATTTGCATGCCAAGCCGGGACTCTGCCATGAGCCACCAAGAGACCAGACGACATACTGCCCAGAGACCAGACCGAGAGCCACCACGCCGCCAAGGGAATAGGCCCGGTACCCACTACAAGCCACTGGGAGACCAGGCTGACAGCCGCCACGTGCCCCCGAGAGACCAGGCCTGGGGCTCCCCCCACGGAAGGTGCAGAGAGACCAGGCTGAGAGCCACCACATTGCCAAGAGACCAGGCCCAGGACACGCCACAAGCCATTGGGAGACCAGGCTGCAAGCCACCATGCTGTTGAGAGACCAGGCCCAGACTCACCAAGAGACCAAAGGGGGAGAAAACGAGAAAGAAACAGAAGGAGCGGAGGAGCTCCGGTTGGAGCATCCTACTCTGTCGGCATCTTGGCTGGATGTCTCATTGAGACAGTCAGGCTGTTCTTTTTAAATTTAAAAGTTTTGGATACTAAATAACTTCAAAATTTGGCATTTCAACAAGATTATTTCCAACTTTCAAAAGCATTTATGATTACACTAAAATTTGTATCTCACAAACTGCGGATTATGGCCATTGTAAATAGGGATCTGTTTGAGCTCAGCACTGAGAACATATCAGCCTCCTGAGTTTGGGTTTCCTGAATGTGTCCAGTCCCTTTCAACTACGGGAAAAGACAGGATCTGTTTTAAACAGGTTGGACTCTGTATCCGGGTCCTGCCTGCCATTTTTGGAAGTTCAGGCAGTCTCCGTGACTCCATAAAAATCCAGGCCATTAATAATGGTGATTCTTTCCCTCCCATGTGCCTTCAATGTTCTACCTTTCTTCAGTAACATCTAGAATGCTGAGAATGCATAGAAAAGAATGTGCATTTATACAATGTATTATCATTTCTACAAGGATAAGCAGCAAATAACTCTGAGTTTCAGTCACTGATTGTCACCCATTTTCTGCACTAGTTAATCTATTTTTGGTGGCGCTGATTAGGACAAAGCTGAGACATTGGAACAATCCACTTATACTTCAATGAATAATGTCACCTGTACCAGCAGTTATGATGAACAGCCATAAAGCAGTCTGTTTGGATTTTGTGCGAAGTTTTTAAAAGGCTAAAGGTTGAAACATTCTCACTGAGATTATCTTGATATCGATATTTAGCTGGATCTGCCATTTACGGTGAGGGTGAAACTGTGCAACAGTACAACAGCTCCTTGTAAAGCTGCCAGCTCATAACTGTGCATTTGGGTTGGCATGAGAGAAATTAAACCTCGCAACATTCTTTTTATTCATGTTGTTGCCATTCCCTTTATCACTCTAGTAAAAAAATTTGGAGTGCAGTGTCAAGTTGGGGTATTTATAAGCACAGCAGCAATCTGATGACTATTGCCACTTCTTGGAAAATCTGGGTCAGTATGAGTTACTAACCATTTGTGTAGTAACCCAAGGTTTAATTAGCACTATTTCCTCTTACTTACGGTTATTTGTAAATTATTGTAAGATTCATAAGGAGAGGAATAACATTAAGAACATCAGGCCCATAACATTTTAGATCACAAGAATATAGACTTTTACTGAAATTAACTTTCTAGGTACCAAAATGATTGTTATCAAAGTCCCAAATGACATTCTATGTGACTATGATAAACTGTCCTTCCACATCCCTCTTGATTTACAGCATGCTTGACCATATTATCCTCCTCTGGTGCTTCTCCTCCATTGTCCATTGTAATCAGAGAAGCATCTGCAATAGTTTCTCTTCGTATTGCTCTCCTATTGGCTCTGGTGACCCCCAAGAATCTGTAAGTTACCCCATCTATTTCTCATTTGCATGCTTTCCTGCACCAACCTCATCTGAAAGCATGTTAGGTTCCACAAAAACACCAATGACACCTAATGCCAACTCACAACTGCTATTCTTGACCCCTCTACAGTTGCTAAATTGTCAGAAGCAGAAATTTTCTCCCATTAAATATTGGAATGACTGAAGCCATTGTTTCGAGATCTTTGGAGAAATGCCGTTCCCCAGTCATCCTTCTCTCTGGCAATTATCTGAGATTAAACCAGACAGCTAGCAAACCTACTGCAGTGTTTGATCTCAAGGTGAGTTTCTGAGCACATATCTGTACTGTCATGAAGAGTGCTCATTTTCACACTGGTAATTTCACCTGACTTTGTTACAGCCTCTAACTCATCTGCTGCTGAAAGTCTCCTCAATGCCTTTGCTTGATATTAATTCCACCATTCAAAAACATTTCTAGACAGACTCCTACCTTCCAAAACCACTGGTGTCCATATTTTAGTTCACAGCAAGTCCCAATCACTCACTACCCTAGTGTCACTGGCCCAGCCCAGTTAAGCAATGCTTCCATTTTTAAAATTCTCATCTTTAATTGCAAATCTTTCCGTGGCTGGCTCTTCCCTATCTCTGTAATCTTCGTCAGCCCTTTAAGATCTCCACACTCCTCCAGTTCTGGTCTCTCGGGTATCCCAATTTTAACCATTCGATTACTGGAGGGCGACTTTTTGCTGGCAAGGCCCAAACTCTGGAATCGTCTTGCTACAACTCTCCATTTCTCTACCTCACTTTCCACCTTTAACATTCTCCTTAAAACCTATCTCTGTGAGCATGTTATTGATATCTGTATTAATTAAATTGCTGTGAAGTGCTTTAGAAGACTATACTATACAGAAGGGGGTTGGTTTAGCTTGGTTGGCTGGTTTGCGAAGCAGTGTGATGCCCACAGTGTGGGTTCAATTCCTGCATTAGCTGAGGTTACCATGAAGGACACTCCTTCTCAACCTCTGACCTTACCTGAGGTGTAGTGGCCCTCAGGTTAAATCACCACTAATGGTCTGTTAAGACTATGGCTGCTTACTTTGACTATACAGAAGGTACTAAAGATATTTTCTACTGAACCTGCTCAGATATGTTATGACACATCTCTGAAGCATGAGGGACTTGAACCCAGGTCTTCCAGCTCAGAAGTAGGGACACTACTACTACACCACAAGAGCTCACTGAAGGCACTACATAATTACAAATTATTGATGGTACCTTCAAATAACACTTCAGGCTTGCAGTAAACGGATCCATCTTTTTCCTTCAGTGCATATGTTGTTGTGTGCAAACATTTCTGCCCAACTCTGTGGTCTGTAAAGGGAGAGAAAGCATTTAAAAAAGACTTTTCTTCCCATTTTCTCCTCAGAGGCCCAATTCTAAAGGTACATTAATTCTTTCAGATTAACATACCATAGGATAGGCTGAATTGTAAACATCAATTTGCTAGGAAAGTGTGATCACCTGTCCACACAATACAATTTCCAGTTGTGGGTCACAGATTGGTAATCACGAGCTTTTCCCTTACTACAGCAGTATTACTATGGCCTGCTCCACCAGCCTACTGTTACACCAGCTGAGAGTGATTCACCCCACACACATCAGGAGTCAAACATCATACCTTCTTTATCATATCCCTCAGTGCATCAACTTTCTCTACTGAAACTGCACGAGTATTAGGTTTACGGTTCTGAAGAAGTCATGCCAAACATGAAGCATTAACCTTGTTTCTCTCTCCATAGATGCTGCTAGACTTGCTGAGTTCTCCAGCACATTCTATTATTACTTTAGATTTCCAGTATTTCCAGTTTTCTCACCAGCAAAATCCTTTAAACATTTGGAACCATTTGGGTAAGTTGATGTGTGTGTACTCCCAGCATGAAGCTTCATCAGACAGATATGCAAATTGGGAACTTGGGCACATGCTCTCCTCAGTTTCCTTTCCAATAAATTTAATGGGCAAAAGAAATTAAAAATATACCAGTTGGGATCTGCAAAATCTTGCAGCCAATGAGTAACTTTATTGAAATAGTATTTATTTAAATCCCTATCCATTCACACCAGCCCTGTCATGCCACACCATCCCATTCCTTCCACCTGTCTCATAATGCTCTCGTCCCATGCCCCCTTCAAACCCTATCGTTACATCTGCTCAATTAAGACAAGTGATTGAAAGTTACATGCAAGATAAAGGGATGCATCAAATATTACCTGTCATTATTTCTGCTCGAAGGACTTATACTCCTGTCCAATATCAGTTTAACAGTGAAGGGTCTGCACCCAACCTATATAGGCATAGATCCCCCCAGTAAAATTCATGGGATCCTTTCTTAGACATCCCAGGCAGATGTCTTAAATAGATATTAAGGTGCCTTAAGTTTGTAAATTAGGAACTAAGTTATTTATGAGACTTTTTTAAAAAATTAAGCACTAATTGTCAATACAGGCACTTGGGCATTTCTATTTCAGGTTTCTTTAATTGCCATCATAACGCACAAGTTAAATTTTATGATTTTGTTTTTAAGGTAACATTTACCTGTGGAATCAGAAGGAGCACAAGTGCTCCTCTACTCCAATCTCTTATTTTCTACAATTTACCTGAAGGTTGCTGCTGGCAAAATAGGAAGCTGAAACCAACATCTCCTTTCAGAGAAGATGTCTGCACACCTACTCTAATAAGACCTGAGGACCAATTTTTGTTGATTCATTAGGATCCTTTTGGAGTTAGAATGAGAACAAGCTCAGATGCAATTTTATCCTTCTGGTCTCACATAATGGAGTACTCAAAAGAGAGATATAACCTGATCACAAACTCACTTCATAATCACTGGAACGTTTTGTAGGCTTCTGGAGATAAAAACTGAAAGAACTGTGGATGTTGTAAATCAGAGACAAAAACAGAAATTGCTGGAAAAGCTCAGCAGGTCCGGCCACATCTGCGGAGAGAAATCAGAGTTAAAGTTTCAGGTTGAGTGACCCTTCCTTAGAACTGATGGTATCTAAGAAAATGTTGGTTTATACGCAGAAGATAGGGTAAGGACTAAACGGTAGGTGGGAATAGAGCCCGGAAAGGGAGATAGGCAGTCGGACAGACAAAGGAGTGGATAAGGGCCCGGCTAGGAGAGTGAATAATTTTATATAGGAAACGTTAGCAGCTAATAATGGCGGTGTGTAAAAGCAGACTATGTGATAACAAGGCCTGGTTGTAGGGGTTGAGGTAAGGACACGGGACACATCAGGCCCTAAAGCCACTGAACCCAGTTTTGAGTTTGAAAGGCTGCAGGGTCCCCAGGCTTCTGGAAATGATGCCCAGAAAATAGACAGGCCACTTTTTGTCAACACGACTGGATGGGAAACTTGTTCACCAAATGTAAGTGAAAGCAAGGGGTATGGTTTGCATACTTTCTGCCCCTACAACACTAATTCTCACTCTGGGTAAAAGACAATCCCAGCAGTGCTCAGTGGTTACGCAGAACAACCAACTCATCATCTTTGAGAACTGTCTGAATGAACTACTACCGAGTTCACTGCACAATCTTAATTTGTTGCAGACAAATGGCAAAACTTTTACCTTGGCATGATCCACAGGAATTACAAATCTTCTGCAAGATGGAAGATTGAAGGTTTTGCCTTTTATTTCAAATTCCCTGTTTTGCAAAGTCCTGTTTTCTAAATAGAACATTTCATACAAACTATTGTCATTGTATGCAATAATATCGAAGACCACATGATTGTCTTCCTCATAAGCATTGACATGATGGTAAACCACAAGTGCATCTGTGTAGAACTTTCCTGTTAAAGGCTTCTTTGTTTTTCTGTCAATGATATGAATGTAAGTCTGAAAAACAGAATTCATATTATAGTGAATTCAAGAAATATAAATTGAAATTCTGTTGTTCCTCCATTGTCTCTGAAGTACAAGTTTTTGAATTCAATCCCCACATTTGGTATTTGAGCTAATAGTCCAAACCAATTTAATATCACATGGTTGTCAGATTGTCAGAGCAATAGGTTTTGCATTAAATTGAGGCCATGTCTGCCTGGATGGGTGTGTGGTCTACCTAAGGCTTTGGGCCTGGATCCCCAGAGCTGATATTTCCTTTTCTTTAGCCACTGCCATCCACCCCTTGCTCTCTCAGTCAACAACTTCCCACCTTCCAAAGTGTGCTGTGGCTGTTATCTGGGGGAAGGCCCAAGACAATCTTAAAGTCTGTAAATCCCCAAATGAGCATGCAACTAATTCTTAGCATCCCTGTCTGCACAGGGGAACCTATTACCTTTGTGCAATGAAGGTAATCTCCCTGACCCTGGAGTGCCATCTGTGGTCAACAACAAGCACTTGCAATGGGTCCAGTCTAGCTCATATATTGAGATGCAACCTTCACTGATTTTCAGTCCTGTGCTGCACCCAAGAAATTTTAGGCAGTCTGTAGTGAGCCATTATATAAGAGATTGTGACTTGGATTTTAATCCAAGAGTCAGGTGATACATCTAAATCAACATGCAATGTTAAAGATTTGGATGGAAGTGAAAACTCTCTTGTGGCCTTTGATGGTAAATTGAGATCAAAAACTACAAGTACAAGGCCCTACAATAATTGCAAAATTGCAGCCAAATATATCTATATTTTAAAGGGACAATATGAATGATGAGGTCATTATTCAGACAAGCAAATTTCCAAAATAATTGGAGTAGAAAAACTTTCAAATCACCACACTTCAAGCAGTAAATATTTATATATATAATTAATTAAGATATTTATGTGGGATATCTTAAAGGCATTGTATAAATGCAACTTACTTTATTTCGTGTTCTGACATGCTACTTCATGATTTAGACTTCCAAATAATAGACGATAATGAGAACCTAACGTTAAACAAAGGCACTTAAGACTGCTGGCTATATGGCATACAGGAAACGTGAAGGAAAAAAAGATATTGTCCATAACACTAGAAAATAATGATGTATGTAGGCTTCAAAATCAGAATATGTTTAAGTTAAAGAACAAAAGAAGATGATTTTGATATTGGACATATAGTACTGGACTTCAAATAATGGGAAGCAAATATAGCAGCAAATTTGCAGACAAATTACAGAAAGATGCAGAAACTTTAAAGCAGTAATAATGGAGGGACTTGAATTATGCTAATAAAGACAGCAAAAGTAACAAATTGAAGGGAAAATAGGGGGAGATGAAGGGTCTAGGCCTGAAATGTTGACTCTCCTGCTCCTCTGATGCTGCCCAACCTGTTGTGTTTCTCCAGCTCCACATTGTATTGACGGAATTCCTGATCAGTTTGTTTCAAGCCAAGAGGGAAGGAAATGGCAATGAGATGGGACAAGCAAAATATATTTCAGGGCAAGTCGGAAACTGAACACAATATCAATATGATGTAGAGTATAAGAGCAGGGAGGTGATGCTGAACTTCTATAGAACATGAGTCAGAGCTCAGCTGGAGTATGGTATACATTTCTGGGCCCTAACTTTAGGGTGATGTGAATCCATTGAGGGAAAACTGCAGAGGAGGTTTATGAGAATGGTTTCAGGGATGAGAAACTTTTGTTATTTGGGAAGATTGAAGAAGTTGGGACGGTTCTCTTTGGAAAGGAGTGGCTAGGAGGAGATATGATAGAGGTTTCAAAACCAAGACAGGTCTAGAGAAGATCGACAGGAAGAAACCATTTTCGATCATAATAGGATCAAGGTTGGGGAGGCACAGTTTTAAAATGATTTGTAATAGAAGCAAGCGTAAACTGAGAAACAACCTTTTTACACTGTAAGTGTTTGAAGTCTGGAATGCACTGTGGTAGACGCAGGTTCAGCTGAAGCATTCCAGAGAGTGTTAGATAATTATTTAAATAGAAACAAAGTCCAGTGATTTTGGAAAATGCAGGTGACAGATACAAAGTTAAATTGCTTAGAGAGCGAGTGCAGATGAGTTGAGTCAAGTGGCCTCCTTCTGCATTGTAAAATTTCCGTGATTCTGATTCTGTGATGTGGGTTTCAGCAGTTATGGAAAAATACAAGGCAAAATCAAATACAACAACGCTCAACTTCAGTGAACTGAAAAGGTGACCTGACCTAGGCGGAATCACAGGGAAAGCCATGAGTGAGCAATGTGAGTCCTTCAAAGATAAGATTGTTCTGGTCAAGATGAACACATTCTTTGGTGGGCAGGACTTGGGGGACACCAATGGGATTGGGACCTCCACATAGACCTAGCATCCAAGAATCATATTACAGGGGTTTTGCTATAATGCGTGTTCCAGCAATGCGAATTGGCTATAGCGTGCATGACAAATAGAGGAACGTTATTTCTAAAATGCAAACTTATGTTGGCCATAACATGATTCAATGGAGTAGGCATCTTGCTGTCAGGAGCCCTTTGCTAATGATACCTACAGTGCACTTGTACAATGCTGTGATTCCGAGAGTCTCCGAGAAATTCTCCCTGACAGCCTTCATTAAAACTGAAAAGTAAGAAGTCAGCAAGTCTGTTATCAGGAAAAGTAGGGTGTAGAGGAGAGTGAAAAACAGTCTATCTAACTTGGTTAGAGACCAAAAAACTGCAGATGCTGGAATACAATGTAGAGAAAACAGGGGGCTGGAAGAACACAGCACGCCAAGTAGCATCTGGGTGAAAGGAGAAGTTATTTCATGTTTCTGTCCTTAAGAAGGGTAATACCTGAAATGTTGACTCCTCCTTTCCTCCAGATGCTGCCTGGTTTGCTGTGTTCTTCCAGCCTCCTGTTTAGTATATCTAACTTACCTTGAAAGGAAACACTGTGAAGCACAGGATCTGGGTACAACAGGAGGCTTCAGCAGCTTATTTAAGTAATTAGTCAGATCAGGGTTGACTTACGTTTCAATTTGATTTTCCCACCTTTGCTCCATATCCCTTGATACCCTTGTGGCGTGTTGATAAGATCGCTGAAGGAGTTTGAGTTGCTATGTCAACATACACGTATGTATATGTTGCAGTCTGGAACTATGGATAGTGGTGGTAGAGTCTTCAATGTTCTTTCAGTCAAACGGGTAACGAGGAATCTCTCCCAATCTTACAATCTGCTACTGGCAGTGTTGGAAGAATTTGCCAATTGATACTCAATCTTTTTAGTCACATTGTGAATGCACTTTCCCTGGCCATTGAGTTCTGCGGCAGGACTTGAACCTAGATCTTGTTGCTTAGAAAGGCTTACACCTTTCACAACCTTAGGATGTTACAAAGAGCTTGACAGCCACTGAAGTATTTTTGAAGTGCAGTCATTTTTAAGAAAATACAGCAACTAATTTTCACACAACACAAGCAACAATGTGATAATGACCAGACAATCTGTCATCATGTTGCTGACTAAGGGATAAGTATTGACCAAGACACCTGGGTAACTGTCCTGCACTTTTAGGAAATAGTGAGGACAGTTGTGTAAAACCGAGAAGGAGCTGCGAAGCTGTCGAACCAACCTGTCTGAACAGCTGCTGACAGTAGTGCTATCCTTTGTGTTATGCCTTTTTGGTGGTCTGCCCCTAACCCCGCTTTTCCCTTAGGCCCAGTTATTTCTATTGGGTTGAGGTCAGGAACAAGAAAGGAGCAGTCACTTTGTTGGGGGTTTTTTACAGACCCCCTAATAGTTGCAGAGATGTAGAGGAGCAGATACTGGAAAGGTGCAGAAGTCACAGTGTTGTAGTCATGGGTGACTTCAACTTTCCAAATATCGATTGGAAACATTTTAGTTCTAATAGTTTAGATGGAGCAGATTTTGTCCAGTGTGTTCAGGAAGGATTCCTGACACAGTATGTAGATAGACCAACACGAGAAGAGGCCACTTTGGATTTGATGCTTGGCAACGAACCAGGCCAAGTGTTAGACCTGTTGGTAGGAGAGCATTTTGGTGGTAGCAATCATAACTCTGTTTCTTTCATGATAGTCATGGATAAGGATAGGTACATACGGTAGGGTAAAGTTTACAATTGGGGGAAGGGTAATTACAATTCAGTTAGGCAAGAACTGGGTAACATAAATTGGGAACAGATGCTGTCAGGGAAGAGCACCACACAAATGTGGAGATTGTTTAAGGAATGCATACTGCATGTGCTCGATATGTTTGTCCCTAGCAGGCAGGGAAGATGCGGTCGAGTGAGGGAGCCATGGTTCTCGAGAGAGGTCGAACGACTGGTTAAGAGGAAGAAGGATGCTTATGTAAGGTTTAGGAAAGAGGAACGGAAAAGGCTCCAGAGGGATACAAGTTAGCCAGGAAGGAGCTGAAGAAAGGGCTTAGGAGAGCTATAAGGGGGCATGAGAAAACCTTGGCGGATAGGATCAAGGAAAACTCCAAGGCTTTTTACACGTATGTGCAGAACAAGAGAATGACCAGAGAAAGGGTAGGGCTGATCAAGGATTGTAAAGGGAATTTGTGCACAGAGCCTAAAGAGATAGGAGAGGTCCTTAATGAATACCTTTCTTCAGTATTCACAACTGAGAGGGATCTAGTTGTAGAGGAGGATGTTGTGAAACAGGCAGGTACGCTAGAGGAGGCTGATGTTAGTAAAGAAGATGTGCTAGGAATTCTGAGGAAGTTGAAGATAGATAAGTCCCCCGGGCCTGATGGGATTTATCCAAGGATTCTATGGGAAGTGAGGGACGAGATCACAGGGCCTTTGGCGATGATCTTTTCGTCCTCACTGTCCACGGGTATAGTGCCGGAAGATTGGAAAGAGGCAAACGTCATTCCCTTGTTCAAAAAAGGGAACAGGGATAACCCCGGAAATTACAGGCCAGTCAGTCTTACGTCAGTGGTGGGCAAATTATTGGAAAGGGCTCTGAGAGACAGGATTTATGATCACTTGGAAAGGCACAGTTTGATTCGTGATAGTCAGCATGGATTTGTGAGGGGTAGATCATGCCTCACAAACCTTATTGAATTCTTTGAAGAGGTGACCAAACATGTGGATGAAGGTGGAGCAGTGGATGTGGTATACATGGATTTAAGTAAGGCATTTGATATGGTTCCCCATGGTAAGCTCATGCAGAAGGTAAGGAGGCATGGGATAGGAGGAAATGTGGCAGATTGGATTCAGAATTAGCTGACCCTTAGAAGACAAAGGGTAGTAGTGGAAGGAAAACATTCAACGTGGTGCTCAGTTACGAGTGGTGTACCACAAGGATCTGTTCTGGGTCCTCTTCTATTTGTGATTTTTGTAAATGATTTGGATAAAGGAGTGGAAGGGTGGATTAGCGAGTTCGCAGAAGATACGAAGGTGGGTCACGTTGTGGACAGTGCGGTGGGCTGTTCTAGTTTACAAAGGGACATTGATAGAATGCAGAGCTGGGCTGAGAAGTGGCAGATGGAGTTTAACCCTGAAAAGTGTGAGGTGATTCATTTTGGAAGGACAAACTTGAAAGCAGAATACAGGGTTAACAGAAAGATTCTTGGCAGTGTGGAGGAGCAGAGGGATCTTGGGGTTCATGTTCACAGTTCCCTGAGAGCTGTCACCCAGGTGGAGAGTTGTTAAGAAGGTGTACGGTGTGTTAGCTTTCATTAATAGAGGGATTGAGTTCAAGAGCCGTGAAGTTATGCTCCAGCTGTACAAAAGCCTGGTTCAGTCACGTCTGGAGTATTGTGTCCAGTTCTAGTCACCTCATTACAGGAAAGATGTGGAAGTGTTCGAAAAGGTGCAGAGGAGATTTACCAGGATGTTGCCTGGAATGGAGGGAAGGTTTTACGAGGAAAGGTTGAGAGAGCTGGGGCTTTTCTCATTAGAATGACAAAGATGAGAGGTGACTTGATAGAGGTGTACAAAATGATCAGCGGTGTAGATAGAGTAGACAGCCAGAGACTTTTTCCTAGGGTGGAGGTAGCTTTTACGAGGGGACACAGTTTTAAAGTGAAAGGAGGTAGATATCGGGGAGACATCAGAGGTAGGTTCTTTACTCAGAGAGTGGTAGGGGCATGGAATGCATTGCCGGAGAGGGTAGTGCAGTCAGCCTCATTAGGGGCATTTAAGCAGCTATTAGATAGGCACATGGATGATAGTATAAGGTAGCGGTGGAGGTTAGATAGACCTTAGGTTTAGGGTAAAAGTTCGGCACAACATCGTGGGCCGAAGGGCCTGTACTGTGCTGTACTGTTCTACGTTCTATCGCGTGATTTTCTATAACGCGACATTGCGCTGAAATGCAACTATCGTGTTTTAGCAAAACCCCCTGTATTTGAGAAACTTTTGTCCCATATTCAAAATGAAAAACTGAATGGGCAATAACCCACAGTACTACTTAAAATCTGCTGGCCTAAACATAAAGCAAGTTACTGCATTTTCATCTTTATCAAGAGTGATGCACCGTTCAAAAATTTCATTTAAAGTTGAAGCTTGGTTAAATGTAAGAGTACCTTGTCATCTGGGTACCATCCCAGACAGCTGGCCCAGTTCACTCCTTTGAAGGAAGCTGTCACCATTTTAAGAATGTCCAGTTTAACTGGCTGCTCAATGAAGACAACATAGTTTGGTGTCATACCAAAACTGTGGTAGTAACTTGGACTGAGGAGTGAGTGACAAGGAATGGAACATAATATTTCACAATTTTTAAAGCATGTATTCTTCTTCTTCTTCTCCTCATCTGTTTGTTTCAAAATAAAGGAAGAAAGTAAAGTTACTAATGCCAGAAACGGAGACAGACGAGGTTCAGAAATAACAACAATGGTTCATACGCAGGTATCTCAACCTCATTACCATAGAGTTATAGAGTCAGTTATACAGCATGGAAATAGACCCTTTGGTCCAACTCATCCATGCCGACCGGATATCCTAAATTAATCTAGTCCCATTTGCCAGCATTTGGCCCATATTCCACTAACCCTTCCCATTCACGTACCCGTCCAGATGCCTTTTAAATGTTATAATTGTACCAGCCTCCAACACTTTCTCTGGCAGCTCATTCCATACACGCACCACCCTCTGCATGAAAACGTGGTCCTTTTTAAATCTTTCCCCTCTCACCTTAAACATAATCTTGCTTATTAAATTCCACTTGATTCATAAGTTCTCGTTGCTTGTACTATGCTAAGTCAACCACAACAGCGTATCATTAACTAAGAATTTGGGACTTAAAATCTGTAAGTAAATACTGCTAAACCTCAGAGCCCCTAAAACATACAATGGATATTTTATTGTTTCTCTTTTTTGTTGTGTGTCTGTTTTAATGAATGCAGCAAATGGTGCATTGTTGCGCTTGGGGTTGCACAGAGCTGAGTTGTTTGCAGATACAGTCCTAATGATCTTGGTGCATGGGGCCTCAGGATACCTTAATAACACCCTGGGAATGTTAATATTCCATCTGATTGCCCCGGTATTACCACTTGAGATTGCCCTATTTTGAGTTTTCGATTTTGGAACTGGATAATTTGCTGTCTTTGACTTTCAACTTTTATCTAATTAAATATCTAGGCCAGAAGATATAGGAGCAGAATTAGGCCATTTGGCCCATCAGGTCTTCTCCACCAATTGATCATGGCCGATATGTTTCTCAGCCCCATTCTCCTGCATTCTCCCCATAATCTTTGATCCCTTACTAATCAAGACCTTATTTACCTTTGTCTTAAAGACACTCAATGACTTGGTCTCCACAGCATTCTGTGGCAATGAATTCCACAGATTCACCATCCTCTGGCCGAAGAAATTCCTCCTCATTTCAGCTCCTCATTTGTCAGCATTTTAATCTAATTACAGAAATTAATAACATTGAACTAAAGGTGTAATTGGCATTTATTGCTGATATGTTCTAGCTTCCATAAAAGCATCAGCCTGCTCCTCTCACCTCAAGGTCAATACATTCCAGATTCAGACAAATTTAGAAGAGACCATCGACTATGATCTATGCTGACATTTCAATGAAACCCAAGTGTCTCCTTTAGCTCCTGACCTATAAGTCAATTCATAATCAGTTCACTCTGTTAAGTCTTATACATATGTAAATCAGGGGTCTCAGCTGGTTTTAGACCTTTTTGTGAAATTGAATTGCCAATCATTCAACATGCCGCAGTGACCTCTGAAGACTGCTACCTGAAAGGCAAGTTTGAAGTTTACCTTATTACAGAGCGAAGAGGATCAGGAAGTCTACTCCCAGCTTATAAATAAATCTTAAGGCCTACTGTCAGCCACTGTTCCACTCCTCCCAATTGTCTCCCTCCTTTCCAGGAAATGTTATGAGCTGACCAATCTTGTTATTTCTATCGCAGTTCTCTCCACCAAATGCCTCCATCCCCCTATAATAACACACCACAACAACTGAGCTGTCTCTGGGATCATGACTGCCAGCCTAAGATCACTAGTAATAACTATCCTGAGGAAGCAAGCAAACCAATGTTCCCTGGTGGTATTGTCAGCCTTATGAGGTATCTACACACCAGGATCAGAGTCCAATTCAAGAGAACTCCACTTTCTAAGCCTGCACATAGCTATCTGAAGAAGAGCAGTGAGACTTCAGCTCAATTATCTTCTTTTAACTAACATCATTAATGCATGGGATATGGTCATTGCTGTCAAAGACAACATTTATTGGCCAAGCCTAACTGCTCTTGAGAAGGTGGTGGTGAGCCTGCAGAACAGTAACTGAACCACAAATGTAATCCATTGTGACACCCTAAGCACGTTATAATGTGCTATATGAAAGCAATTTCTTTCTCTCCTCATACTTCCAGATGATTTTTTTGGCCAAAGTAATCTCAATAAGCCTTACATTTTCTCACCCTGATGTAAAGAAATAACAAGGATCTCAAATAGAGAGAATTTGAATACTTCACAACCTTCAGAATATTGGGCAACACAGACATTAAAAATAGTTTAGCCAACAGATGAACCATATGGTGTTGTACTGAGTTATAAAATACTCTGATCTGGACTCCTATTTCTACCACAATTACACAGTGAGAACATTGGTGTCTGAGCCTGACTTGTAATGAGTGGGAGATAGGAAGGAGAAAAAAGATAAATCAAGAGATTGCTACTAGATGCTACTACACTAAGTAATAACAACACTTTGGTGAAAGGAATTATCAACATCACATTGAATTATACATGTAAACTAAAATCAAAACCAGTCTTCAAACTTCCCAACATAATAAATCTCCATCACAGTACCTGGCTTTGTATTTGATATCTTCACAAACATGTATTTTGTTTTGCCTTTCTCAGCTATGGAGGTGCCCATATTGTAAGTGTTTCCAACTTTATCATAATGTGGATGAGATGTCGCCAAGTTCAGAGAAGCATACTTTGTGTAGTCAACCTACATAAATATACCAAAGATAATTGATGTCACTGTTCATCTTGTTGTTTTAGCGACACACATATCCTCATTGTTGTGTACATATAAAAATGTCACAGAAGAAATTCAATAGGAGAACACAAGCCACTGGGGCAATAATTTAATTCAGGAGAAAAGTTAAAAAAAAAAGAAGCATTCCTGATCAACTGGTGTAACCTAAAGACATCTAAAATATTCAACTGTCGATAGTGTGTTAATTAAACATTGCCAACCATTCCCACGTAAACACAAAATAAAAAATGAAAGAACTGTGGATGCTGTAAATCAGGAACAAAAACAAAGTTGCTGAAAAAGCTCAGCAGGTCTGGCAGCATCTGTGAAAGAGAAAACAGAGCTAACGTTTCGGGTCTGGTGACCCTTTCTCAGAATCGCAGACCCGAAACGTTAACTCTGTTTTTTCCTTCACAGATGCTGCCAGGCCTGCTGAGCTTTTCCAGTAACTTTGTTTTTGTTCTCATGTAAACACAACTGTTCACTGAGCCATACAACCATAAGACTCCCAACAGAGTTTTATTGCAATAAATCTCACCTTCTCTAATGTTTCAACTGTTCTAGGATCTATTCTTCTGATATAGTTGGTCTCTGATGAAGCAAAGAAATCCTCACCATATTTAATTATATTAATCAAACAGTTATCAGTGAAATCAGGAATAACATTTGCAAGATAGGAAATTGCTCTGTAAAATAAAAACAAAGACATGTTACATGGTTGTGTTTGTTTCCCATTTTGAGGCAAAGTGCAATGAAACAATTTATACAGCTGAATGTACAAAAACAATTGTTTCTGCAAAGTTGGTGAAACTTAAGTTGCAAATGTTATTGGACCAGACTGATATGTACTAGGGGTTGTTGAAAGAAGTCAGAGAAGAGACAATAAGGATTTTGAAGGCTTAGACGAATGAGGCAGGGACGGGGGGGATGTTGTCTAATAGAAACATGTAAAATTATGAGGGGAATAGATAAGTTAGAAGCAGGGAGGTTGTCAAAAATTGTAATAAAGTTGTGGGCAAATGTTTGATGAATTTACTAGCTAATTTGCAGAAATTACAGACCAGACAGTGTTATGAAGTTCAGTAGAGTGTGTGGTTTCTTTAGGAGATCAATTACTTTTCTAAGCTTAGAGATTTATACAGAAAAAGAAAGTGTCTGTACATAGCTGAAGATGTATAGCCAGTTCTAAAATGGAAACATGTATCAATTGGCTATGTGATTGGAAACCTTAGGTGTGTTTTGATGTTTTGGCAATGAGCTGGAATCAGCCAATTAATTTAAACCAAGCACTTAGCGATTGAAAGCCAATTGAATTTAAATTTGATATGTCTTCCAAGGTACACGAGGAGAGGGTTTTTGAAAATCGGTGTGAGAGTGAACTGCCATCTGAGAAATAAATACCTAGCTCTCACAAGAAATCACTAAGCTCTCTAAGAAAGCACCATTTATCTATAAAAGGTACCACAACACTTCTAACTAAGAGTCTTCATAGAGAGAACATCCTTGACAGCAGGATCAGTGGAAGAAAGGTGCTTATGAGTTGAGAACAGCAGAAGAAAGGCATTTATGACTGGAGAGACAGTGGAGAAGGCAGAGCATTTCAGAAGAATGTGAACTTTCAGCGACTAAGTTTTATTTTTTTTCTTACTACTTGGGTTATAAATGTGGGACTTATGTTTATTGGAATAGCACACCAGTAGAATTTTGTTCAGTTAGGGAATAGTTAGGAGTTAGGGAGGAATTGTTTGGTTTGTTAGTAGTTCTGTTAATTTGTTCACTGTTAAATTACAGTTAAATAAATAAATTGTTACTTGTTACTTATATGGGGAGTATCAGGATTTTCTTTAATTTAACCTCACCTTCTCCGTAACAAGAGATAAAAAGTGCTCAGCCGAGGTGTTGAATATAACTTATCAGAAGATTTTTAATAATTCCATCTGAATAATTCAGGTGTACGGAATATGAGGAAATGCAGGGACACGAACATGGCAGCCAAGAAATAAAACATTAGGATCATTGAGTTTTGCTGTAACTACAGGAAGTGGTGTACCTTCAATAATGGGTTAAGACCTGTCCTTGGTATGAACAGATAATTGCGGCTGCAAGGAATAAGTCTCCAAATTTGCTAATGTTACAAAAGAAGAAGATTCATAAAACAATGCAAAGGAATATAAAATAATTAAGGAAGGAATGGATAAGATAAAAGAATAAATGATGCAATGTCATGTGCGGAGATGTTCAATGATATGCATGGAAGAAAAATAACAAAGAATAGATATTTGTACTTGGTACAAGGATTCTCAAAGCTATTTGTTTTGGTGGGCAGGGATCTAGGAGTACAAACTCCCTTCCTAACAACATTGTGGGTCTACCTAAATTCGTGGAGCGGTTCAAGAAGGCAGCTCAATGTCACCTTCTCAAGGGAACCTGGGATGGGCAATAAATGCTGGCCCAACCATCAATGCCCACTTCCCATGAATTAATAAAAAAATGCCAGTGTAGATAGGTAAAGCCATAACTTGAATATTGGTTTATAAATAAGGACATGGAGTGGAAGAGTTATAAAGTAATGATGAATTTAAACAACAACGTTGTTACATCGCAGTTTTAGAGTGCTGTGTACAGTTGTGGGCACTTTTTCCTATTAAAGACATTAAAGCCATTGAGGCATTTTAGTTTAAGGAGATACTTGAGAAACCTTTACCATTATCACTGGAAAATAGGCTATAATATATGCAATATAAGTTTGTTAAGTTGTAAAAAGTTCTAATAGGGTGAATAGTGTCAGACTGGCTTCTCTATTTGGGAAGTTGATGATAAAATGTGACATGTTAAAATCATTACTTAGGAAGTGAGAAACAATAGTTTAGTTCAGAGAAAGACATTTGCCTGAGGTCTGTTGTGAGAATGGAGCGCTTGCCACTGGAATTGACTCAGACGAAACCTAATGCTTCCTTCAGGTGAAACAGACTTCATTTTGAAACAAATAAAGGTAGAAGGCTATAAGAATATTATAGGACAGTAATATTAGTTTTAGATTGTTCTAGGAAAGACTTGGCATTATATAATAGGCCTGACTGCCACACTTTGTGCTGCAAATTTCAACTATTCCACAACAAGGAGAAATTTGTTAACCAAAATAAATAGGAACAATCAGTAGCTCACTTCATGCTTACTTGGAAAAAATATTCTTGCACGGATCTGGGTAAGCCATTGTGCCAAATTCTGACACCACAATCCTATTAGCTTCTACGTTAGACATGTAAGTATCGCTGCAAAGATACTTACTTCTGTAGAACACCTCACCTGGATTTAAAAATATAAAAAAGCTAGTTACCATTGTGGCTAGTAGAAATCAATTTCCAATTACCCATTCTAGTCTAGGAAGCTTGAAATCTGAACTGTGTGGTGATTATTCACATTGTATCTTACAGCTTTATGGGAGCTGCACTATATTCATTAGCCACCAGTGATCTTCCTTCCAAATGCAAGTACATCCAATTCAGATTCGGAAATCACTGTGTCTGATTAATGCAATAACATTAATGGCAGTTATGCATTTGTTTATCTGTAGCTGGAATGATTCTCACTCCCTGATTCATTTTGAGGCAGCATTTCATATTCCTATGAGGATTGGTGAGGCCATTTTTGGAATACTGCTTTCAATTCTGGTCTCCCCACTACAGGAAAGATGTTGTGAAACTTTAAAGGGTGCTGAAAAGATTTACAAGGATGTTGTCAAGGTCGGAGGGTTTGAACTATAGGAAGAGGCCGAATAGGCTGGGGTTAATTTCCCTGAAGCATCGGAGGCTTAGGGGTGACCTTACAGAAGTTTATAAAATCATGAGGGGCGTAGATAGGGTGAATAGTCAAGATTTTTATTCCAGAGTGGATGAATCCAAAACTAGAGGGTATAGGTTTAAGGTGCGAGGGGAAAGATCTAAAAGGGACAATTTTTTCATGCAGAGGATTGTGCATGTATGGAATAAGCTGCCAGTGGAAGTGGATGCTGGTATAGTTAATATAGAACTAGTAAAAGATAGGCATAGTGGACCATTGGAAGCTGAGAGTGAAGCTTGTATTTCGAACTGAAAAGTGAAATACTTGGAATAGCAAGTTCTGTATTTTTATTTCAATTGTAAGTTGAAAATAATTCAGAATCCCTTCTTTCCTCTGCTGCCAGCAGCTAAACACAAACTGTCAGCCTATCCAAAGCACATTTATTAATCTAGTGTTGCTCTTGTAATGTTATATTAACCAGTCACTGGTCTCATAGTAGCACAGTGGTTAATACTGATGCCTCACAGTGCCAGGTTCGATTTCAGCCTTGGCCAACTATCTGTGTGGAGTTTGCACATTCTTCCCACGTCTGCATGGGTTTCCACCAGGTGCTCCGGTTCTCTCCTACAGTCCAAAGATGTGCAGGTCAGGTGGATTGGTCATGCTAAAAATTGCCTTGCAGTGTGCAGGCTAGGTGGATTAGCCATAATAACAGGAGTTAGAGCGGGGGGAGGGATGTTCTTCAGAGGTTCATGCAGACTTGATGGGCTGAATGGCCTGTTCTGCACTGTAGGGATTCTATAATCTCAACAGCAGAACACTCTACACTCTACATCAGCTGCTTAACGGTTTTCAAAACTAAACGAGTGAAAGCTGTATAAAGTAAGTTTTTTGGCTGTGTGTGACCAAACAACCTGCCACTAAGCTGTTAACTGTACTGTGATGAACTTTGTCTTAATTTTACTTTTTAAAATTATTATGTATGACTTCTGTCATTGATGTAGGCGCTGTGCTGGGTGACTTATAAAACTTTTCATGTAAAAGTACACGTGACAATAAATTTCTATTCTATTCACTGTGTCTGACAGCCCATTTGTAAATAATGTTCATACAGATTTTGAATGCAGATTATATGCTTGATGAAAAATGCATAGCATATCAAACCAAGGCAAAGGGAATGTCATATTGACATTCTTGATAAGTATTATTTCCTCATCTGGAAAGAGGTGAAAAGTGTCCTACACTACCTCACCATTTTGAAAGGTGAAACTATGCAACAAGGCCATCCCATCAAACCAATGGTTGTAAACAGTTTCACCAATTTTGTGCATGCCTGGTCCATTTCCAATGAGTGTCCCCTGCAGCCATTGTGGAATGTGACCTATTTAAATATAAAATAAACATCAGTTAAAATCTGTTTTATGCTGTGAACAACAATGTAATGTTAATGCTATGTTCACATGAAGCAGCAAAGGACTTGCACAGAGTCTGCGCCACCCATGTGGCAGGCTACCCATGGAAATAAAATCCTTCCCAAGGTGGCGACCTTAAAATTCCCCATACATTTTTTGTTCTTAATACGATCATAGAACCTCCACACTGCAGAAGCAGGCTATTTGGTCCATCGAGTCCACACCGACCCTACCCACCTCACTACCCTATCCCTGCAAATCTACATTTCCCATTGGCTAATCGACCTATTCTGCACATCACTAGACACCAAATCACTCACCTGAGCCACCGTCGCCAGTTCAGGCAGAAAGCAGAACAAAATTCATGCATCTTTTCATAATAATAAGAATGCATAACATGGTTGTAGCAGTGCGTGCATATTTTGTTTTCAGGCGGAACCTACAGGCTTGTTTTATTTTAGAAAAAAATATGCGAATGTGACAGGGAACTGAGACCAACTTCTTCAATGTGCGTGCTGATCATGCAGTTTCACCCAGGCGTTATGTTTGTGCCGGCTAAATGCGACCGAAGTGAAAAGAAGCACAATTCCTTCTTCCAGAGCTTCTCCTTGCAGTTGGCCCTGGTGTGGGACCCTGATCCTACAGCTTCCAGCCCTCAGCACTACCGGGGCTCACAGACTAAACACAGCAGCAGCTCCCACTGCCCAGCGCTGGTCCTGCTGTAGAACTGAGTTTCCAGAAAGCAGCAAATGCCGTTACTGCTGTAAACAAACACGGAGACAAATATTTCAGCACCTGATCAAAACATCTCTGGGATTTTCAGCACTTTACCAGTCTGGCAAATTGGCGGAGGAATCTCTTTATCATTCCCATTGTCTCATTGGTTTTTTTTGTTAAAGCGTCGAGCAGTTAACACTAAACCGAGTCACAGGCAGTTCGTGGTTACACAGTAATAGACAACACTTTCTCACCTTCAATTTCTGCTTTGACAGGCTCTGGACATTCCCTTTTGTTGTCTGTGAACAGCGATTGCTTGGTGACAGCAGAACAGGGCTCAGACCCTGCTGTTCCGGCACCTGTACTTCACCAATTCTCCCTCTCTCTTTTAAGTCTGTCTCTCTTCCTTTCTGTACAGCTCGTCAAACCGAGGAGGAGAGTAGGTTCGCGGGGGGTGGGTGGTGGTGAGGTCTGTTTGGCTCACTGCCCCGCTGACCTTATCTGGAGGAAAAGTCGAACTCAAAACACATGTAAGTGAGCAATGAGAATTTGTGCTTTCTGCCCACAGATTATTGGACGAGTAGAATCGTTCACTTTTCTGCCACACGTTTGTTTTGTTTTGCTTTGTTTTTGAGGAGGTGTTCCTGTAAATACCGTGTTTGTTTGCTGCAAACCCCGAACACTCACTTTTCAACAATCTCGCAATGCGTTCCGGAATGATTGACTCGATGGGGCGGTCCTCCGCTGACCCTGTGACTTCTCTACATTACCACAAGTGTTCAATTCCCAGCCACCCACCCCACCGTGTTCTTGTACATTACTCGTTCTGGATGTTAACAGAAATATGCCGCAATCCTTTGCTGACAGGCAGACTGCTCCCCAAACACATCCCAGTGACTGAATGAAATAAAAATGACTCTGCGTCCGATTGCTTGTAATAAACAATGGCTCACTGACCACCAGAAAGGTTACTTACCAGTTTCTCTGGTGCACGGTCACTTAGGAGCTAGGTGTGTGTAACCGATCAGAACCATCCCACACCAGCTGAAACCTGAAGTAACACGGATTGATACGTGTCAGATTCCTCGCCTTATGCAGAACAAGGGATAGCATTTTGAGCTATCCACCTACAACAGCAACATTACTGAGATGTTAGAGATAGTAGGAACTGCAGATGCTGGAGAATCTGAGATAACAAGGTGTAGAGCTGGACGAACACAGCAGGCCAAACAGCATCATAGGAACAGGAAGGCTGATGTTTCCGGCCTAGACCTTTTCTGATGAAGGGTCTAGGCCCGAAACGTCAGCCTTCCTGCTCCTATGATGCTGTTTGGCCTCCTGTGTTCATCCAGCTCTACACCTTGTTATCTCTTATTACTGAGATGTTGCTGTCAATAAATGTGGAGCTGGAAAAACACAGCAGGTCGGACAGCATCCGAGGAGCAGGGAAGTCAATGTTTCAGGCCGAAACCCATCTGACTCCACCAGTGACCGGTTTACCGATCTAGAAATGCCAGTTGCTGAGGAGTTTAAAATTCAGTGAATTGAATAAATCTGTCTTTTCTCTAGTCATCGTTTATCCGAAGATTGAGCCATGAATTGGTGAGGAGAGGGTGACCCCTATTGTGGTCCTGGGAGGGAGATGAAGCGATGAGAGCAGAAATTTGGAAAATGAATGGACAGAGCTGAGGGGCCTGTTTACCAGAGAGAGGGAGATCCTTGGTTAAGGGTAAAGGAAGGCATGTCCCAAGCTTTGTGAAAGAAAGTATCATTGGAATAGATGCAACAAAAGAGTAGAAACTGGAAAAATGGAATACAGTCTTTCAATCTAGAACAGCTAGCATTGTAGATTTGTTCAGGAATGGATAGACCAAGTGGTCCAGTTATCATAAACTTGGTGATAGCAAAATAACTGGAAAAATTCAGAGGGACAGGATAAAGTCATTTAGAATGTTGTGAACGAATCAAAACTTGTCAGGACGTATTTATTAAGCAAAGGTCATGTTTGACGAACACCACTGACCCCTTTGAAGATATAACAATGAGTTTTGATAAGGGTTGTGCATTTCATTAAGTCATGCACATATTTTAGCAAGGCTTTTGGTACATTCCCACAAGGTTGATTAGTCACAAACATAAAAAGTCATGGGATACAGGACAATGTGGCAAGTTGGATCCAAAAACTGTCTCTGAAGCAGGAAGCAAAAGACAATGGTCAATGGGTGGTCTTGTCTCTGGAAAGCTGTTTCCAGTTAGGTTTCATAGGGCTTGGTACTACATCTCTTGCTATATATAAATATATGTGGTTGATTGAGAAGTTTACAAACAATACACAAGTTGGCAATAAAGAACAAAGTTGTTGACTGCAGAAAATCAAAAGACAAGCCAGGTGGGTAGAACAGTAGTAAATGGAGATAAATCTGCAGAAGGGTGAGGTGATGCAATTGGGAAAGGCTAATGAGACAATAATTAATGATAGGATACTGAAAAGTAGCAGTATAAAGGGCCCTTGGAGTTCATGTTCTCAGATCTTTGCCTTTATTAGCTGAGGCAGAGAATATAAGAACCAAGAGATTAGTCTGGAACTACACAACACTAGTTAGATTTGAAGTTTTGATCACCGCAATGTGGGAATGACATCATTGCACTAGAAAGCATGCAGAGGAGATGTAGGAGAATGCTGCCTGAACTGAACAATATTATTTATGAGGAAAGACTGGAAGGGCCCAGAGTTGTTTTGTTGGTCTGAAGGAGACATAACTGAAGTGTATAAAATTAAGGCTTTTGAAAGAGTGGATAAGAAGGCCCTATTCCTCAAAGAACAGGGTCCATAACTGGGTACACAAATTAAGGGAAGAGAAAATTAATGAGAACTCACTACCTGAAAAGATGTTAAGGGCAGAATCACTCGTAAGGTTTAAAATGTATTTGGATGTACACAAAATGTACTGTAACCTTCAAGGCTACAATAAAAAGCTGAAAAGTGGATATAGTCTGGATGGCAACTTGCTAGCCATATTGAAATGATAAGTAGAATGACTCCTTCTGTGTTGTAAATTTCTAATATTGTATGATTCAAAGAAATTGACATTTTCAAAGTATTAACTTATTTTATCTGAATTCTCAGTATCTAAGTTTTATAAAGTCACAGAATTGACTAATAACATGGGATTGGAAGTAGTCACTTCCTTTCCACAAATCTGAATAATTAGTTTATTGTCTCCATTTTTAACCTGTGTCCTCAAATTGCTGATCATTCTGTGAAGCAGGAATTATAATCAAACTTGCAAAATTGACATCTCATCAAACTGTTATTTTTCCTGACTATTAAGCACTTGACAGAAAAGTTTTAACTGAGCTAGATTATTCACTGACTTCCAACTGTGTTAGAGGTGAATGAACACTTCTCTGACTTGATTGGCACGCACTATAATATGCAGTTTGGTAAAAAAATGAGATTAAAGTACTAGTTGGCTGTTCACTGGATGGCCCATGGATTTTCTAAGTTTGAATCTGAACATTAAAAAGTGAGGATGACTTCCACGCACTCACTCTATTTAAACTGTAATATTTATTTCAGTGACATTGCTGGTATTACATTGATCATACATCACACTCTATAGATATAAGCCGTGTAACACCTGTAAATAAATCATGCATACTTCTTTCCTATTCTGTATATCATGTAAATCAATCACAATACTCAATGAAGCAATATTTAGGAACAAATATCAACTTGATTGGAATTCTGTTCTATTCACAGTATTCTAACTTATCAATATTTTATAACTTTGAATGTGTCAGAGTATAGGTCATTTTGTTCTTTGGCCTAATAAAGTATTGTCAGAGTGAACTATAATTATTGCTTCATAGCCATTAAAATGAGCCCAGTTTCACGCTGGACTGTTAACACACTGGTTGCTATTGGAGCAAAATAAAGGACATTGTTGCTTTACTGTAAATAAGTACATGCCACTCTAGGAGTTTGTATACAAATTATTTTAATACTAATCTATCTGTAAAGTTGATCAATAAAATTATGTCTCCTGGTACTGCTATTACAAAGTATAAAATGAACAAGCTGAAGGAAATGAGCCAGTGTGGAGGGATTCAAAATGTTTGAATCGAGAGGGAGGGAATGTGCTTTCTTTAACAAGAAACTGATAGAGACCTTGATAAACTGTTCAGCACTGTATGCATTTGGTCAGGCCATTTAACACCAGTTCAACTCCCTTGACTGTACTTTGGGGTGGCGATTGTTGTCTATGCATCCGGTCAGTAATGATGTAATTGCAACGTAAAGACACAATTCCTTTCTGAGATAATGGGCTAGTGGTAATGTCACTGGCCTGGTGATCAAGGGGCCGAGACTAATACTTGTGAGGTAACAGGTTAAAATTCACCTGGGCAGCTGGTGGAATTTAAATGCATTCAGCTGATGAAAGTCACGATAGTGTTAAAGGTTGGTTTCAGCAACAGTCCCATGAAATTATAATCAGTTGTTGTTAAAGAAAATCCAACTGGTTCACTAAAATCCTTAAGGGCAGGAAATCTGCCATTCCTATATGGTTGAGTTTACATTGATTCCAGACCACACAATATGGTGGACTCTTTAATGTCCTGTAAAGACATACTGTTGTACCAAACCACTACAGGAAGTTCAAAAAGGAATAAAAGCTGACCGACAACCTGACATCAATGAAGGATCAACAGTACATCCCCATTTCTCCTGTCAATCTTGTCCATTCCTCCCTCTACACTAATATCTGAGGTCTTGTACCAAAATCAGGAGAGCTGTCAAGCAGTAGCCTGAGATAATCACACTCACTGAACCATACCTTACAACCAATGACCCAGACACCATCGTCACACCTCTGTCATGTCCCACTGTCAGGGTATTAATTGTATAGATTCAGGAATAAGTTGCCCTGGGAACCATCAACATTAACTCCAAACTCCATGAAGTTTCAATAAATCAGCTTAAACATGGGTAAGGAGACATTTTATCTATTATCACTTACTATATACCACCCACAGTTGATGAGTTAGTACTTTGCTGTGTTGAACATTACTTGTAGTAAGCAATGAATGTGGCAAAGGCACAGAATGCACTCTGTGTGGGGGGACTCCAATGGCTTGGTAGCACTTCTACTAACCGAACTCTGAAGGACAAATCTGCCAGACTGACAAATGGCAGGTGGTAATGGAACAACTAGAGGAGAAAACCTATTAGACCTCATCCTCACCAATTGTTGAAGATACATCTGTCTACGACAGTATGCGTTGATATGACCAGTGCATGATCCTTCTTCTTAGGAAAGCTCCAATGTGTTGTGTGGCATTACCACTGGGCTAAATGGATAAATTTACGACAGATTTAATTTCTCAAAACTGGACATCCATGAGTTATAGTGGGCCACCACCAGCAGCATCATCATTAGATTCAATCAGAGTCTATAAACTCATTCCCACTCTACAATTGTCAACAACACAAGTGCTGAACCTTGGTTCAATGAAGAGTGCAGGAAGGAATGCCAGGAACAGCACCAGGCTTAGATAAAAATGATGTGTCAATGTTGTGAAGCAACAATTCAGGATTACTTGTGTGCTAAATAATGGAAGCAACATACATTAGGCAGAGCCAAGGGATACCACAACTAATAGATTAGATCAAAACTCTGTAATCCTGCCACATCCAACTGTGAATAGAGGAGGATAATTAAACAATTTACAGGTGGTGGCAGATATACAAATATTCCCATCCTCAGTGATGCGGAAACCCAATCCATCAGTGCAAAGTCTAAGCTGAAGTATTTGCATCCATCTTCAGCAAGAAACAAATAAAAGATCCATCTTGGCTGCCTCCAAGTGTTCCCAGTATCACAAATATCAGTCTTTAGTTAATTTGACTCACTCCATGTAGCATCAAATGGCTAAAGGAACTGAATACTACAAAGACTATGGGACCTGACAACATCCTAGCAATGATAGTTAAGACTTGTGCTCCAAAACTAACCCCTTACCAAGCTATTCTGGGGCAGCAACAACACCAGCATCTATCGACAATGTGGGAAATGTGCACAAATGTCCTACCCACAAAGACCAGGACAATCAAATCTGCACCAGCCTCCTCTCAAGCATCAGCAAATTGATTTAGGATGTTGCTAACAGTGCTGTCAGATGGCACTTGCTCTGTAATATCCTGCTCACAGACACTTAGTTCTGTCTACGCCACTTAGTACTTGATCTTATTATAAGCCCTTGCTCAAGCATGGACATTAGAGCTGAATTCAAGAGATGGAGGCAAAAGTTACTATCCTTAACATCAAACAGCATTTGACCAAGTGTGGCATGACAGAACTCTGGCAAAATTGAAGGCCTTGGAAATTGAGACAGAAAACTCACTAGTGGTTGCAGTCGTACCTCGCACAAAGGAAGGTGGCTATGGTTGTTGGATGCCGATCATCTCAGTCCCAGGGCATCATTTCAGGAGTTCCTCAGGATAGCGTTCCAGGCCTATGTATATTTCACTGCTTCATTAATGATTTTTCCTCCAGGTCAGAGTTTTTATGATAATTGCAAAATATTCAGTACCATTCACAACTCCAGTAAGAGCAGACAACATTAAGGCTAGGTCTGAAAAGTGGCAATAAACATTTGTGACAAACAAATTCCAGACAACGATCATCTCCCTTTCACATTCAAAGGCATTAACCATTACTGAATCCCACACAATCAACAATTTGGGGTTATCATTGGATTACTGTTGTGCCCTTTTCAAGGACAATTAGGCATGGGTACTAAATGCTAGTCAGTGATTCCCATATCAGGAGAAAGAGTCAAAAAAGAAAGCCATAAACTCGATTGGTCTAGTTATTTACATACTATAACAACAAGTCAGAGGTTGGTAATTCTGAGACAAGCCAATCATTTCCTGGTTCCCAAAACCTGTTCATTATTTGCAAATTACAAGTCAGGAGTGTAATTGAATCTCTCCTCTTGTCTGGGTCAGTATGGCTCCATCAACATTTAAGAAGTTCAACACTATCTCAAAGCAGAAACAATAACAGACATTGCTGGAAAAGCTCAGCAGGTCTGGCAACATCTGTGAAGAGAAATCAGAGTTAACATTTCAGGTCCAGTGACCCTTCCTCAGAACTGATATTAGCTAGGAAAATGTTGGTTTATATGCAGAAAATAGGGTAGAGGTGTAAGAAGTAAATGATAGGTGGGGATAGAGCCCAAAGAGAGAGAAGAACAGTTGAATAGACAAAGGAATGGATAACGATCTGGCTAGGAGGGTAAATAGCTGTTAAAGATAACAATTGGTAGTGTTTATTGGCAGACTATGTGATAATGAAATCTGGTGTGTAGGGTAGGGGGCTAGGATATGGGAGAGTTTAGGCCCTAAAATTATTGAACTAAATATTGAATCCAGAGGGCTGCAGGATCCCCAAGCGTAAAATGAGGTGTTGTTCCTGCAGCTTGCGCTGACCTTCACTAGAACACTTCAGTAAGCCTGAGGCAGAGATGATGGCCAGGGAACAGGGTGGTATGATAAAGTGATAGGCAACTGGAAGTTCAGGATCTTTTTCGTGATCAGAACGTGGATGTTCTGTGAAGCGGTCACCCAGTCTACACCTTGTTTCCCCAGTGTAGAGGAGACCACATTGTGAGCAGCGAATGCAGTCGACTAGATTCTGGGAAGTGCAGGTAAAGTGTTGCTTCACCTGGAAGGTATGTTTGGCCCCTTAGATAGTGGGGAGGGAGGAGGTAAATGGGCAGGTGTTACACCTTTGGCAGTTGCAGGGGAAGGTGCCGTGGGGCTGTGGGCTAGTGTTAGGAGTGAAGGACAGGGTGTCCCAGAGAGAACAGTCCCTGTGGAAAGTGGACAAGGGAGGAGAGGGAAATGTGTGGTCTAGTGGTGGTATCTTGCTGGAGGTGGCGGAAATGGCATCTGATGATGGATGCGGATGTTGGTGGGATGGTAGGTAAAGACAAAGGGAGCCCGACCACTGTTGTGTGAGGGAAGAGAGGGGGTAAGGGCGGAAGTGTGGGAGATAGTTTGGACCTGGTTGAGGGCCCTGTCAACAACGGTGCTGGGGAATCCTCAGTTGAGGAAGAAGGTGAACATTTCAGAGGCTCCCTTGTCGAAGTTGGCCTCATCTGAACGTATGCGATGGAGACCGAGGAACTGGGAGAATGGAATGGAGACTTTACAAGAAGCAGGGTGCGAGGATGTATAGTCCAAGTAGCTGTGGGAGTCAGTGTGTTTATAGTGGATATTAGTAGCCAGTCTGTCCCCAGAAATGGAAACAGAGATGTCAAGGAAGGGAAGGGAGGAGTCAGAGATAGCCCAGGTGGAAATGTGCGTGGGGTGGAAATTGGAAGCGAAATCGATGAACTTTTCCAATTCTGGATGAGAGAGGGAAGCAGTACCAATAATGTCATTGATATATCGGAGAAAGAATTGTGGCTGGGGGCAGGAATAGGACTGGAACAAGGAATGTTCCATGTACCCCACGAAGAGACAGCCATAACTGGGGCCCATGTGAGTACCCATGGCCACCCCACTGTCCTGAAGAAAATGAGAGGAGTTAAACGTTGTTCAAGGTGAGGATGAGCTCAGCCAAGCAGAGGAAGGGGGGTGGTGGATGGGGCCGGTTCAGGCCTTTGCTCTAGGAAGAAGCAGAGCATCCTGAAACTATCCTGATGGGGGAATGGAAGTGTAAGGGGAATGAATGTCCAAGGTAAAGAGGAGGCTGCTGGAACCTGCAAACTGGAAATTCCAAAACTGGCATAGAGTGTCAGAGGAATCGCAGATGTAAGTGGGCAGGGACTGGACTAGGGAGAAAACACTGAGTCAAGATAGGGAGAGATGAGTTCTGTGGGACAGGAGCAGGCAGAAACAATGGGTCTGCCCAGGCAGTGCTGTTTGTGAAGTTTCAGAAGTAGGTAGAAGCGAGCTGCAAAGGGTTGGGGAACTTTCAGCTTGGAGCCATTACGTGAGGTGGGGGGAGATCACCAGATGAAATAAGCTTAGTGACCGTAGTTGATACAATGGCCTGATTTTCCATGGCGGGGTCATGATCCAGGGGAAGATAGAAGGAGGAGGTATCTGAGAGCTGGCACTCAGCCTCCACAGCGTAGAGGTCAGTACACCAGACTACAACAGTGCTACCCTCATCGGCAGGCTTAATGACAGAGTCAGGCTTGGATCTAAGTGCTCGGAGTGCAGTCAGTTTGGAGGGAGATAGGTTGGATTGTGTGG